CCAAAGACCCTAAATCGACGGCCCATTCTTTGTGCTGTGTTCCCAGTAGGTAGAACACATGGGTCTGGGGACTCGGAGGTGAAAGTAGGAGAGGCCCAGCTTACCATCAATCCCAGTGATCCACTTTTGGAATGTGTGCTTCTCATCCCCTTAAGGCTCTGCAAGGTTAGAGGTCCTGGTTCTCCAAGGGGGAACAGTGCTACCAGGGAGCACAGCAAGAATCCTATTACATTCTAAGCTACGGATGCCATCTGGACACCTAGGTTCCACATGCCGATGGATATGAAGAGGAATGAATCACTGTCTTTGCAGGGGTACATGACCCTGAACATCAGGAGGGGGTGGGGCTGCTCTTACAAGGCGGGAGCCGGGGGTGGGGGGGATAAGTTTGGCACCCAGGCGATCCATTGGCTGTCTGTGAGTACTCCTTGCACAACTCTGCAGGGAAATGAACAAGGACAGCAACCACAGCCTGGGAAGGGCATGGGGACCAAGGGCTCAGGGATCCCTCAGGGATGAGGGAATGGACCACTCATCAGGTAAGCCACTGAGACCAAGAGAGGCGCTAGCTGAGGGTGAGGGGAACCTGAAACGTATAGTAGAAGGAAGGAGACAATGCTTCTCATTTATTTCTGCCACTTTTATCAACAGCAGCGGTAGAGTCTATGGTCCATCCCACTAACTGTGCTCTTTCAAGCTTCCCCCCGGAAAACCAGACCAATTACAATCCCAGAAATGCTGTGCCCAGATGGGGCGAACTTACTCTAAGAAGTAAGTGAATCTGAGCAGTACAAGGAGTGGACTCTGTGCTCCCCTCAGATCCTCACCCCCCCACACACACACCCACGCTCACCTTCAGGCCTTCATATCTAGTTCCCAGCTTCTGGGGAGATTTGCTGCTGAAGGCTCATGGTGCTGTCCCTCACTGGGAATTGCCCTCTGCTGCAGGGATTTGCCTTCCCCAAGACTATGCCTCCTTCCCGGGGGTAGCCTGCGCCTAAGGATTGACTGATGTAAGAATACAAAAGCCTGGATACCCCGCCTCAATGGAGGTAACTCTGAAGGGTCATCCTAGCTCCAGAGCTCCCCCAGAGGATGGGCTGAGGCTTCTGTTGTGGCTGCATCATAGCTCAACCTTTCCCTCTGCTAAATCCTGCTTCCCTCACTCCTCCCCCGCAACAGGTGGTGTTCCCAAGAGCTCTCCCCAATAAATCTGCACACAAACCTCAGAGTCTCAGGGCCTGCTTCCAGGGAAGTCTAAGAAAAGAAGCCACAAGAAGAGATAGAGTTTATATAACCCACTATATACATAGATACACAATAACCTACCCTATATATGTAATATATACATGACACCTCTAATGTTATACAGCAAATATAATATAGTATGGCTTATGTAACATATCATATATTGCATATTACATACTAAGTGTGTATGTACCTAGAAGGTATATAAACATACATATATAATTGGAATGAAAGTTTCAGTAGATGATTACCTTTACTATGTGCAATGGAGTCTAATATTTCCTGTTCTATTTTATCTCATTTCATGAAGAAAGACATACACATATATATGTATTATATACTCTAAACCTATTATATAGCAAATACATGATAGGGCATCTGTCATATATAATATATGGCATACATTGCTGATTCTATTTCTTGAAGTAACAGTTCCACTAAATAGTAATAATTCCACTTACTACGTGTAATATATTCTTGTTAGATTCTATTTTCATTTATACTACTGCATAAAGAAAATGAAGTGCTGGTCACAAGCCAATAGGTGACCCATAGTCCCGGTGGGCTAAATTATCTCTAAAAAGGGGAGTTGATTCTCAGCTCAGAGTTTGCAACCATGAGCCACAGAGGACTTGAGACCCAGGAAAGAGTGAGAGTGGTGAGGTTTGGTGGAAAAGGTGTCAGACTCTATCTAGGTGTACAGTCCATTATGGAGTTTGCACAACACCTCCTTTATTCCAGGCTGAAATCCCCAAAGCTCGGATGGTACTTGCAAAATCTGCAGGCAGGTGATGTAGAGGTCTCTGTTCCCCACGCTGAGCCTGGTGTGCGTACACAGGCCCTCTCCCTTTGTCCATCTCACCCCATCTATAGTAGACACTAAATAAACATTTGCTAGATTGACTAGAAGAAAAGACTAGAGCAGCTGCTGGGATAAGGGGGTGGGGGCGGTTCTGAGATGCAGAAGGGAAAGGGAAGAATCTTTCACTGAATTTAACAGGAGCTTAATAAATGTTTGCTGGACAACTTAGAAAAAAAAGGAAAACACTGGAGTTGTAATTATGGAAAGGGGAGGGTCTTGTCAGTATTCGGGAGATGATTAATAAATGTTTGATGGAACAAAGGAAAACGCAGCAAAGAAACTTCCTGGAGTATAGGAGTGGGGAAGTGAAGTCTAAAGGAGAGTGGTTACCAATATACGGCAGGGGCCCCATTAAGGTTTGTTGACTTCAATGGAGCAAATTTAGCTAAGAAGATGGCTCCTGTGTGAGTGGGTGTTGATGGAGAAAAGAGGGATGTGGTTGTTTGAAAAGAATATAGTCAGAGATTAATAAATGCTTTTTGGATTAATGTGGCGGGGGGAAGCAGTTGGGAAGATGGCTAAGAAGTGCGGGAGGGGACCTAGCCAGAATACAGTAGGTGCACATTGTGAGCCTTCCAGATTGCGTAGTGTCAAAGGTGAGATGGAGATGGTCGAAGGGGAATTAGGGCTTCAAGAGGGAGAGGGAAAGAGGCATTGAATATGGGGTCCTTCGTATACAATAAGTGCTTATTAAACGATTGTGGGGTTGAATGGAGAAAAAGGTATAGAGAATCCAGCTGGTGGTTGGGATTAGAAGGAAAGGGAACTGAAGGAGGGTTCTTCCTAGTATATAGTAATGCTAAATGGATGCCTCCCACACTCTGACACATGGGAACTATGCAATAAATACCTGTAGAATGAATAAATGGCTCTGAAGAGAGAGAAAGGCTGCTGGGTAAAGGCTCCTGGGGGGAGGGGTGATCTAACCAGTAAAAAGCTGGTACTCAATAAATTTAGGCTGAAATAGACCCCTGGAGAGAGAGGTCTTGAGACGGGGCAGCAACTTTCAGACTTGGAAAGAAGACGTTGAGAATGGCCCTTATATAGTAGGAACTCACTAAGTGTTTACTGGCTTAAGTAGAAGAAAGACCTTTTGGGGTATGGACTTAAGATTGGGAGAGGGAATCCTAGGGACACTGAGGGGAGTGGAAAAGGGGTAATCCTGATAAATTGGGCTCTAGATTTATCAAAAGAAAGGACCCTAGGGAGAGGCTTTATGACCAGCGCAGTTTCTTCTACGGGTAAGGAAGGGGTGTCTACTCCCTCCACACAGCAGGCACTGCATATATGCTTACCGGATCCACTAAAAGAAAAAGACTTTGGGAAGAAGGTGTGAACATAGAGCACACAGACGGCACTCCATAAATGCTCACAGGAGCCACTGGAGGAAAAGGCCTTTGGGGGAAGGTGATTAGAATCGAGCACCTGGCAGACAATACATAAATAAATGCTCACTGGATCCATTAAAAGAAAAGGTCTTTCTGGGCGGGGGGGACTAGGGGTGGGCATACAATCACTGGATCCATTGGAGGAAACGTCTTCGGGGAAGGGGAATGGGGTTGCAGAAGCTTGGCCTATGTAAGCTTGATTCTCCATCAGTGAAAGGAAAGGCTTTTGTGGAGAGGTCATAGAATCAGGCACACGGTGGTGCTCCATGAATGCTCCAAGGGGTGATTAAAAAGAAAAGGCCTCTGGAAAGAGGACTGAAATGGTGCACACAAGTGTTAGATATTTGATCACTGTATTAACTGGAGGCAAGCCTTTATGGAGAAGGTCTAAGGTCTATGCATGTGTTGAACACCTTGGGTCATGCAGAATGTGTTCAACACATGCAGACTGAAGCCACTGGGGAAGGGTTTGGGGATGGGGTAAATAGCAGGCACACAATAAATGCTTTCTCAATACACTGGAGGAAAGAAGCTTTAGAGAAGGCTCACACGGCAGGCAGGTGATAAATGCTAGGTGGGTTTACCAAAGGAAAGGTCTTTGAAGTAGCTTGAGAATGGAGGAGAAACGAGGCACTCAATAAATGCCTTCTAGATCCACTGGAGGAAAAGGATTTTGGGGAGAGTCTGAAGATGAGTCACACACAGAAGGTTAAAAAATGCTCATGGGACTCATTTGAGCAAAATATGTTTGGAAAGGGGTTTGGAGGTAGGGCATACACCAGGCATTTAATAGATGCTTTCTAGATCCTTTAGAGAAATAAGCCCTTGGAGAGGGGACTTAGAGTTGGGACACACAGAAGGCATTCAATAAAGGCTCACAGGATCCATTAAAGGCAACACTTTCGGTGAGAAGAGTTACGCAGCAGGCAATCAATGTTCACTGAATAGCTTAAAGGGTCTTTGGGGGGAGGGTTGGGATGGGGCACATACCACACTCTGGGTACATGTTCACAAGATCTATTAGAGAGAAGGCCTTAGGACAAGGTTTGAGGGGGACAAGACACATAGCAAGCTCTCAATGAATGTTCACAAAATTCATGGAAGCCAAAGGCTTTGGGGAAGGGCTCCCGGACAAGGCACATTGCAGGTACTTGATAAATGCTCACAAGATCCATTAAAGGACAAGGCCTTTGGGGTGAGGGTTGGGGGAGGGGGGGCAAGGCACATTAGGCTCCCGAATGCTCACAGGATATACCGAAGCCAAGGCTTTTGGGAAGGAGGTACACAGCAGGCGCCCGATAACTGCTCCCTGTATGGATCGAGAGGGCCGGGTGCGGGGCAAGGGCGGGCCACACAGGAAGCACCCAGCATAATAATTTAAAGGAAAAGGGTTTGGGCTAGGGGGCCAGGTGCCTGGCACACAAGCGGTGCTTGGTAAGTGCTCGTCGTGGAACGATCTGGGGACCCAGGCCCGCGGGAAGACGTCCGCGGCAGTGGCTTACCAGTCGGTGTGGGGCTCGTCGATGACCAGCAGCACCCTGGCGGCAGCGCCCCCACGACCTGCGCCCCCAGAGCCGCCGCCCACCTGCTCGCTGAAGGTGGCCGCCGCGGCCGCCGTGGTCTGCTTGACCGCGTTGGACAGCGACGAGAAGAAGCCACCACCCCCCGAAGACCCGGGACTAGGGGCAGCCGGAGAGGCCACAGGGGCGGACGCGGAGGCCCTCTCGGCAGTGGCAGTCGTGGGACCGGGCGTGGCTCCGGGGCTGGGGGCAGCAGGCGGCGGCGGGGGTGGCTGCGGGCGCTGCAGGTCTGTCATGTACCCATTTGGCAGATTGGCCATGAAGTTGCTGTCCGACAGGCGGCGCCGCAGGTAGTTCATGGCTGCGGCGCGGGGCAGGGGGTCCTAGGAGCAGTCGGGTCAGGAGCCGCGGGGGCGGACCGCGCGGGGCCCAGGAGCACTGCTGCGCTCTCGGGCACGACGCGACTCTTCGGTTGCCCGCTGCAGACTGAGGCAGCGCTGAGTCGCCGCCGCCGCAGCGCGGATGGTCGCGCCCGTACCCCCCTATCTCGCGCCCTTCGTGGTGCTGTCCAGCTGGGCCGGCGGCGGCGCGGACGCGACCAAGGCGACCGGGAAGGGGAGTTTGGGGAGGAACGGCGAGTGACGTCAGCGCGCCTTCAGTGCTGGGGAGGTGGTGGCACGCGCCGGTAGGCGGGGGCGAAGGAGCTGTCCGTGGTGCTGAAGGCGGCAGTGCGCACGCGCCACGCCGCATCCTGTTTCCCCTCCCCCTCGTCCGATTGGGGATGCGCAATTTGGGGAGTGGGGGCGGGGTAGATACTTGTCGGGAGGGTCGGGGTGAGTGGTCAGGCAAGACCCCCACCCCGCCTCATTCTGGTCTTCACACCCGGTCGCACCCACACGCAGGATTCTCTGCAGATACTCAGTTTCCAGTGTTGATATTCACCACAGAAGGCATGAGGGGGGGTGGAGGGGGGGAGTGGAGGCACACGCAGAGACTCAAAAGTAGAGAAATAACCTCCTCACCGCGACAGATGGGGGTCACAAGCAGTACCCTGTGAGGGGAGATCAATTTCCTATATCCATATGGGCTCAGCTAGGCAGAGAGAGGGTGCTGGGGTGGCATAGACAGCATCAGACAGGCAAACTTGGACACTTGGGCGCGGTACACACGCTTGCCCTGGGTTGCTGGGGCCTGGAGGCACACAGGAATGACACACACGTGGAGATACATATAGACACACACAAAAGTAAAGAAACACATGGAGGCACGTACAGACGGAGAACACTCCGATCTAGGTATCTATACAGACATACACAAGCCCGGGGTAACACACATGGGCATGCATGCATATATGCCTACACACACACACACACACACACAGGCACCACACCTACACACAGAGACCCAAGGAAACTCACACGAACATGCACACCCAGACAAATCACATACCCACAGACGATCATGATAAACCTAGATCTGCCACACAGACCCATTCCCTGAAGCTCCAGACCTGATGTGTGTCCATCTCTGTCCCCCACCCCCCGGGGCCCTACACACACACTCAGTCTGTATGCCCCCATCGCTCTGCCCTGGATAAGCCAAAACCCACCATAACCACCTGATATCAGTGCCCATGGCTGACTCCCCTGCACCGGAGAACTTTCCACAGACAGAGGCAGACCCATCCTAGGGTATGCACACAGCAGGTGCCAAATAATGTTTGCCACATGAGCAAATTACCTTTATAGTCCAGGCAGAGGGGGGCTGTGGAAGCCATCCCGTCAGCTCCTGTAAGATCCTGACTACAATGAAAGCATGAATCCATTTAAAAACAATCATTTGTTGGCAGCACCCAAGTAAGCTGTTTAGGTGTATTGTTTCATCCAACCCTTACAACAATACTATGGGGTGGGAAACATACCCATTTTACAGATGAAGGAATCCAAGACCTCCAATTCATTCCCAAAAGGCCATGTTCACTTTGTGATCCATTCGTTTTTTTTAAAAAAAGAATGTGCTAGAAAGAGGTACCAGTGTGGCTGAAACAAAGTGAGCAAGGGGGGTTTGTGGCAGGAGATGGGGTCAGAGTGGTTAGCAGGGACCAGACTGAGCAGGTCCTTGTGGGCCATAGTGAGTGATGATGGTGGACCAAGTGAGGTAGAAGAAGATACGGTAAGAAATAGGCAGATTTGGAGTCTCTTCTGCTTGCAGGATTTTCAGGTGAATCATCCACTTATTCATTTGTTCATTCTTTATTCTTTAAATCCTTGGTCCGTTTAAACAAGGTAGTAAAGGTGTGGAGTCTAGAGTCAGAGTGCTTGAAGTTCAAAATAGACCTCCACCATACCCCCGGGAAAGTGACTTAACCCTGCTGAGACTTGGTTTCCTCATCTATCAAGATGATCACCTGACCCATCTCTAAGGGTGTGGGGGGCTGGTGGGGGGAGGAGACAACCTTTATATTTTCGCATGTGCTGTGACTTCTGCCAGGAATGTCCTTTACCTCTCTCTCTCAAGGATCATCTTTGGCTAAGGTCTCCAGGAAGTCCCCTTCCCCAGGACTCAGATTCCATCCCCTCTTACCCTAGCCTCCCCAGTCCTCAAGTTCAATACTTCCAAACCATTCTCTACTCCCTCCTCCATGCCAGGCAGCTTCAGTCCCACCTCCAGGCCTTCGCTTTGGCCATTCCTTCCCTCTCCTTCCTGGATGCTCTCTCCGGCATTCCATATCCCAGTGTTGCCCAGATGGGGAGCTCCCATGAATCATGTATTTTCCAACATTTAGAAGTATGTGCTTCTCAGTTTTTTGCTCAGTAACTGAAGTAAACAAGCTGTGTTGGACCCATGGTGCCCTCTCTAGGGGATAGGAGCAGCTGCAAGTCAACAGACCTCTCTGGCTCCTCTGGGAGTCAGAAGTTGGGCTCCTTAGGAATCTGTCTCCAGAATGCCTCTTCCCAGGGCCCCCATTCCCACGTTTCTAGTACTCATGGCCCCCAGCATCAGTCCCTTTCTCCAGGTGGCTCGGTTTCCAGAAATTAATATTTTGGAGGTTGTTTAGCAGAAGAATGAGGATTCCCCTCAGGAGTGTCTCAACTCCCTGAGGCAGAGGTAAGCCTCCTCTGCACTGTCTCCATCGTCTCCAGCAGGAATGAACGAATAGAAGGGGCTCCAGGAATGATTTTCTTTGTTGTGCATTAGTGAGCAATGACTCTGAAACACACACCCCTGACATATGTTTGTAATCAGTATTGTACCCATGTTTAAAACTCACACACATGTATTATCCACGACATCTTAATGCACATGTACATGTGTGCACGTGCACACAAACACACACACACACACACCTATAACTCAGACTGTTATGGCGCACACATGGTTGTAACTTTACATGCACTCCACATACACTCAATACATCCTTAATTCTTGCACAGGCCCATAGGTCTGCATATCACACATACACAAAGATATGTGTCTCATGATGTGCAAAGTTCCACTCTCTTGTAGACACATACCTCTCATACCCTGTAGTAAGCAACCAGAATCACTCCCTTCAGCTCATTCTTCCCAAGATGACCAAAAATTCAACTTTGTCTTTATTTCAACCCATCAACTGACCTATTTTATGGGGGGAAACCGACCCAGAGGAGTGAGCACCCTGACAGAATCCAGGTGTCACGCATCTCCCATCTGAACCCTTCCATAGAGGCATCCCTCCACTCATAGCACACATCGTGCTTCAAATGTCCAGCCTGCTACCTTTCTGTGCCTTTGTAAATGGGAATAATGATAATAGTGACCCTCATAGGCTTGTTGTGGAGTAAATGAATTCATGCTGTGCAACCTAAAACACTACCAGGCACACGGCAAGCACTCTATAAGTATTAGCTAATACCATAATTATGATGATTCTTATGATTTGCCTCATCACCAGGGGCTCAGCATTCAGTAAATTCTAATTAGTGCAACACTGAGCAAATGCCAACAGCTTTAGTGTCTGGGTTTGTTCCCTTCACTGTGGAGACACGTGCTGTTCTGACTCCTCTTGTCCAGCGCTATTGTTAGTATACAGTAGGCGTTGATAAGTGTTGAAAAAAAATGTTCAACGAAAGGATCGCATATTCTGAGTTTGTTCCCTCGCTCACATGTCCTCTCCCTCTACCAGTCCTCCTCCACCCCAGATGCCCAGACTTCGTTCTAGTATGCTGTAGACGCTATAAAGTGTTGAATGAATGCACAAATACTAAAGGAATCTGTGTCTGGGTTTGTCAGAGGGGCTCCTTCTGGCAGATGCTGACTCTGGCTTCTCTTCGCTCCCGCCCCAGCTCAGAGCACCTCACAGGCACTTCCTCGGTCCACCCCCCCGCCAACCGCCACCCCTCTTTCGGTCCCCGCTAATTGCGGCATTGGATCTGGGCTGTTGGGAGTGGGTGGGTGCAGGTGTTCACGCGGCTGGGCGCCAACCCCAGCCACGCCTCTGCCGCCTCTGCCGCGGCTCAGAGCGGGATTGATGCGGAACCCGCCAGCCGAGAGGCTCCGGCGGGGGGGCGGGGGGGGGGGCGGGGAACGTAGGCACACCGGCCAATCAAAAAGTGCCGGCCAGGCGAGTAGCCAACCAGAAAACCCATAACGCGGAGCTCTGCAGAAGGACGTGCTGGACGCCCCGGGACGCCGCGCAAGGGGTTGGGGCGGGGGGCAGACCCTGGGGCTGAGGCAGCGGCGAAGGGACCCAGCTGTGACCACGGTGGAAAATACTGTTTTCCACAACAAGCCACTGCATCTCTGCCCGTGCCGTGCCCTTTGGCCTAGAAGATGCTATTGCCCCACTCCTGGGGAAGAGGCCCATTTATTGAGGTCTGGGAGGGCAGGGGGTCAGAGTGGGAGAGGGCGGTGTTAGGGCTGCGCATCCTCAGGGTCTTGGCAGACAGGCACGTGTAGACATGGCCGTTTCTCCTCCACCACCGTATTATGCCCCTGCAGCATCTCGCACCGTGCTGATGGTTTTCCCCAGAAGGTCACGTTCTTCTCACCCTGACCTTCGACCACGGTAATGGTGGGCCTGGGGCATTAGAGGGGGAATGGAGGGGAGAAGCTCAGGGAAGGCAAGAATGCATTCGACAAACTCTTACTGAGTTTGAGCTAACTATTTGTTAGCTATGAGATATTGGGCAATTTCTTTATCTTCCCTGTGCTCATCTGAAAAATGGGAATAATCAGAAGAATAATGATACCCACCATATTGGGCTGAGTGAGGATAAATTAGTTAATTTTGGTAAAGTGCTCAGAGTGGTGTCTGGTACACAGTAAGTACTCAATAAATGCTAGTAATTGTTACTCGTTGACAAGGGCTACCTTCTCTTACCTCCAAAACCCTTCACATCTCACCCCATTGCCCACTGGGGGGGGAAAAAAAAACCCCAAATGCCTTGCCTGGTATTTGAGGTCTTGCTTTTGGGCCCACATGCCTGGCCCAAGCCAATCCCTCTCTCTTCCACTTTATCCAGACTTAGTCCCACATCCAGAATGGTCTTTGCCTGGCTTGTTCCTCCCACGAAACAAGCATTCCATTCATTCACTCTCACCCCCATTCCCTCAATCAAATCCATTCATTTCCCTACTCTGTCAAGTGCTTCCTGCCTCCATTCAACACCTCTAACTCATCTTCAGAACCTACTAGAAACCCCAGAACCGGAGACCATTTCCCAGATGGCAGGCCTTCCATGAGTTGAAAATAGCCCATTTCATCTAGTGGCTTGATGTATGTGGAAATAAAGAAGGGAGGAGTGAGTGTTTACACCCTCTCTAACACCTGGGCCACCAGGAAACCAGCTTTGGGCAGTTGGTCACCAGTATCCAGGACTCTGCTCACACAGTCTTGACACTGGGAATGCCTTTCCTGACCCCTTCCTGCCGGGTGACCCCTGATCAGCTTCCTGGATCCAGGGCGAGGTGTCAGCCCCTTTTCCATGTACCAACTGTTCTGCATCAGCCTTCTGTCAGGGCCCTGCTGACCTGGATCCCTCTGGGGACCCACGGGACCTGGGTTCTGTGTGTCTGCAAGTGTTGCCGAAAAGGCCTCAAGCGTCTTGGGGCGGTGAGACGTTGGGTGAGATGTGGGTGGCTGAAGGAATGAGTAAGTGGATGAAGGCCTGAGTGACTGAAGGGGCAAATGGAAGCATGGGTAACCGAGAGGGCCGAGTGCATGGTCACAGGAAGGACTGGCTGAGTGGCTGGATGGCTGGGGGACTGAATGAGAGGTAAAAGGGCACAGAGGCTACTCATTCTCCCCTCAGGATCCTTTTTCTCGGCTGCTTCTTTAGTGACTTTCCTCTTCCTGCAGGAGGGAGAGGACACTCCTCAAGGCAGGCATCTTAGACCCAGCGGAGGATGCCCTGGTTGTGGGGAGCTGAGCCGACTCTCCCACCCTCACTGCTCACATATGGATATCATGACCCCCTCCTGGGCACGCTTTGCCCCCTCACTCACGGGAAGTTGGGGAGCTGGGCCGTGCAGAGGCGCTGGCGGGTGCGGACGGGGTTGGGTCCACACGGGGGCATGCATAGCCCCCAGGAACTCCACTCCGACCATGAGCCTTTCCCTGCAATGAGTCAGAATGAGAGGTCTCAGTGGAGGTGGTGAGAGAGAGAGAGAAACAGAGACAGAGAGGCAGCAGGGACATGGGGTCCAAGGTAGAGTCAGAACCCCCCCCCCCCCCCCCCCGCACAGGCTGCCCCATCCTCACAGTGGAGTCGGCCGGGGGTGGGGGCACTCACAGCTACATTGCTGGATGTTATAGCAGTGACGGATAATTTGTTGTTGCCCGAGGCACCGCCGTCCATCAAACTTGCGGCCCTTGCAGCTCCTCGAGCGTGTCTGCTGGCCCGGGATCTCCTTACAGTTGATATTGTTTATGTTCCGACGGATGCAGGGGCTCCACTCCTCCCAGGACCCCCACTCTCCATCCACTGCAGAGACAGGGGCAACCAGGGCTTGCACCAAAGAAGGGAGCCAGTGAGGGGATTCAGAGGAAGGAATGACGACCGGGGGGAAGGAGCGGCGGTGGTCAGAGGTGGGGCCGAGGCACCAGGGCCAGGAATGGGGGCATTCGAGGCAGGAATAAGGCATTAGCAGCAGGGATGGGTGAGGGGCTTAGGCATGGAGATGGCACATCTTGAGCTACTGACCAGGGCAGGGCACAGCTGTGTTGCAGATGTGGGCCCGGGTGGCCTCACCAGCACAGGGGGGGCCCCCATGCTGGGGCACAGGGCGATCACACTTCCGTCTTTCCAGGGTCTGCCCCAGGCCACAGGTCACAGAGCAGGGGGTCACAGGACCCCATGCCCCCCAGCCCCCAGCCACTGTGGGGGTGGGGGATAGGAGTGAGAAGAAAGGTCACCTCAATCTCCCCATCAGCCCCTAGACCCTTGAGGCGGACTGCCGCAAAATGAAGAGCTCCATGGTCACATGGTCTAAGATCTCTGTCCCCTGAAACGGCAGAGCATCGGTGACTGAATCGAGAACAGAGTGTCAGGGGCCTCATCCCTGTGTACCTGGGCAGGGTGGCAGGCCAGAGCAGGGCCGGGTTTCGTGGTTCAGCCCTGGGCACGGCTTCCCAGGAGGCTTCTTGGAGGGCTCAGGTGCAGAACACGTGCGGCTTCGTCTCTGGGTAGGTGCGCTGGGTCCACCGTGGCAGGACCCCGAGCAGTGGCCCCAGGGACCCCAAGCGGCCCAGGCCCCATGTACTGTGGTGGAGTGGGGGTTGGGGGGACACCAAGTGTGGTCACACGTGAAGTCCTCCCACCCTGGAAGTTCCCTGCTGTAACCCCCAGACCCACCCTGGGTGCCCACATCAGTGGCCTTCACTCACTGGGGCAGACCTGCTGGGTGTCACAGGTCTCAGACTCCTGTGGCTTTCCTGGGCAGTGGCCCCCACACTTGGGGGTGGGTTGATTACATGTTCGCTGATGGGTCCGGGTCCCTTTGGAACAGGTGACAGAGCAAGGCATCCAGGGCTCCCAGTGAGACCAGCCACCCATCTCTATGGGAGAGAAGAGAGGGGGACAGGAGGGAAGTGGGGGCATCATTCAGGGGTCCTTGCTTCCTTGTGTGCCCCACGTCCTCTGCCACACCCAGTCCACCCTAGGATGACTGCAGTAGCCTTCCCGCGGGTCCCGCTGCTTCAGCCCTCACCACAGACCATCCGCCCTCCTCCGGACAGTGAGAGGGATCTGACGCAACCCAAGTCAGATCACATTTCTCCTCTGCCCACAACCACACAATAAAAGCCAGCGTCCTCACCGTGGCCCACAGGATCGGGCCCCCCTTTGACCTTGCCTCCCACAACTCTCCTCCAGCCACACCGGCCTCTTCCTCAGCGCCTCACAAACATCAGGCACAGTCCCACCCTCAGGGCCCCTGCACTGATTGTGCGTTCCCAGGGCCAGGCGACAGGCAGCGCTGGCCTGCCTCGCTGAGCCTCCTCACCAGGACAGCACGGCTGGTCCTCACAGGCCTGCAGCTGCCACTCAAGGGTCCCGGGCTCCACCTTCTCGGCACACTGCCCACCATGGCCTATGCAGCGCCGGTGCCGCAACTGGGATCCCTCAGTGCAGGTCACTGAGCAGGGGGCCCACGCAGACCACGGGGACCATTGTGGGGGCCTGTAGAGAGGAGCACACGTGTCCTACCCTAGCTTGAGCTGGCAAGGATGGGGTGTACTGGACTGCGGGGCGAGGGCAGGCACAGGCAGGGGTGCAGGATAAAGGTACATGGAATGGATTGATCAGGGTATGCACCCCTTAGGGATGTTAGGGATTGAACGGGAAGAGGGGGGCACACAGTAAGTACTGACCTTCATGACTGGGGACCTGGAACACTTTGAAGTCCCCCAAGGCTAGTGCCAGACATGCAGTAAGCAAATGTATGGACTAAGGGCCCAGAACTGCTGTCAGAAACCTACCAGGCCACCACCATGCTCGGTAGCTGGCAAACAAAAAGTTCTTAATAAATAGAAGCTATTGTCCCAGTGAGCTCAGAGACCCTGTCAGAGATACCCCGGATCTGGGGCGCCTGGGTGGCTCGGTCGGTTAAGCGTCTGACTCTTGATTTCAGCTCAGGTCATGATCTCAGGGTCGTGAGATCGAGCCCTGCATCAGGCTCCACACTGAGTGTGGAGCCTGCTTAAGATTCTCTCTCCCTCTACCCCTCCTCCCGCTCCCGTGCTCTCTCTCTCTCTCAAAAAATATATATATATTTTTAAAGAGAACTACTCCAGATCTATCCCCAACCCCGTGCACAGCATAATACTAAATTGATGTGAACTGTTGACATTACTAGGGGCCCAGAGCTACCTTCAAAAACCCTCAAGCTTCCCATCCCCATGGTGTACCTGGGATATACGCTAAGCTGTTAGAAAACATGTCTGGCGTTCAGTAAGGGCTCATTACATGTAAGCTGGCATCATGATGAGACCAGTGTCACCCTCAGAAATCTGCCAGCTACCCCTGACCTCTGCAATGCATCTAGTAGGCTGGCAGTGATCAATGAACATGAAGTGTCATCATAATTAGGGGCCTGGAGCTGCCCTGAGAATTTCCCAAACTCTCCCACCCCGACATGTCTGTATGCAGTAAGCACTCAATGTGAGCTGGCATCACAATTAGGGGACTTGAGCTACCTTCAGAACACACCTGACCTGTACCCCACCCTCTAATGCTTCCAGTACGCGGGAGGTGCTCAGTAAATGTAAGCTATGGCAGTGGTTCTCAACCAGGGCCGATTTTGCCCCTGGGGGGACATTTGGCAATGTCTGGAGGATTTGGGTTGTCACAGTTGGTTGGGAGTTGCTACTGGCATCTAGTGGGAGGCCAGGGATGTTACAAAACACAGGCTTTGCAATGCCCAGGTCAGGCCCCCACAACAAAGAATTTTTTGGCCCCAAATGTCAATAGAGGCGAGGCTGAGAAACCCCGAGCTATGGTCATGATCGGGGCCTTGGAGTCACCCTTGGAAACCCCAGAGAAGGAAAGAGCCCAGTCCTGGGTGGCCCCCAGGCTCCCCCTCACCTGCATGCCTGACAAAGCTTGCTGCCAGGCTCCTGGAAGCCATAGGCAGGGTTGAGACAGCAGTCTTCCACACTGACACCGCCCCCCAGGAGGCCCTTGCATATGCCGGAGGATTCCTCATAGTGGGTGAAGCAGAGGACGGGGACTGAGCCTGCAACAAGGTTGCGGGGGGGGGGGGGGCGGGGGGGGGCATGATCAGCGGTGTGATGGGTCCGGGCACCCCTGCGGGCCAGCTGGGCCCTCACGCACTCACCTGCAGCCGGCAGCAGGGTGAGCAGCAGCAACAGCAACTGAGGAGCCCGCATGTTGAGCATGCACCCCTGCGGTCCTGCCGCCCTGCCAGAGAGGAGGCCCGGCTTTGTATGGGCTGACCCGACGCTGGGATCAGGGCAAAGAGGAACCGGGCCAGGAGGAACTGGGCGGGAAAAGGGCTGCGGGGGGCGGGGCAGGGGGGGAGGGGAGGGTGCCGTGCAGAGTCTCTGCAGTTCTGACTTCTCTCCTGGCACCTTTGCCCCGGAGCCTCCTGCTCCGCTCTCCCCTCCCTACTTCCTGTCTCCCTCTTGATCCCGGTCTTGCTTGTCACTGTATCCCCAGCAACCACACCCTGCCCAGCAACAACTCCTTAGCACTCAATCAGTGCTCCCTGGAGCATAAACGTCCTAGCTGTGTGACCTTGGGCAAGTCGCTTGAAACTCTCTGTGGAGCCTCATTTTTTTTCCCCCTGTAAAATGCGGTCTCTCCCACAATGGGTCAACCTCATGCGGGTGTTGAACAAGGATGAAATGAGCTCAGCGTGCCCCTCATTGAGTGGAGCAGGCATTAAGATAATTGCTTCATCCTCTTTCCTGAAAGTGAGGTTGCCTGTGGTCAGCAAGGACAGGGGAGGTCAGCAGGGGGGGAAGTGAGAAGGGGAAGTGAGAAGAGTGTGGGGAGAAGGGTTTGAGAGTGAACTGGGGATATTGACTGTCCCGGGGCTCCAGCTGGGACCACCCCCCCCACACACACATATACACTGGCCTGGGGAGGGAATCAGCTTGGCCATGTTCTATCGAGTAACTGGGGGTAGGTGACAACCCCCTCCCTGAGCCTACAGCATAGAGTTTGTTGCAAAGATTGGGAGTTTAAGATTTTTAAAAGTCCTCAGAACAGCGCCGGGCATACAGTAGGTGCTGTTTCTTAAATACATTCATTCAGCATTTGCTAAGCACCTATTGGGTGTCAGATGCTGTTCCTGGCACTGGGCAGAGCAGAGAGTAAGCCCCAAATCCTGGCCCTCAAGGGGCTTATGCTCCAAAAGAGAAGATAGACACAAAATGCCCCCCCCACAGAGGCCTTCCCCAGCTACCCTTTTTGTATTGGACCCCTGTCACTCGGTAGCCCAGGGGCTCTCAAACCTCAGTGTGCCTCAGATTCATCTGGAAGATGTGTTCAATCGCAGAGTGTTGCCCCCCCCCCACCCAGTTTCTGATTCTGTAGGTCTGGGGTGGGACACAAAAATGTACATTTCTAACAGGCTCCCAGGTGGTGATGCCGCTGCTGCTGGTCTGGGGAGCACATTTTAAGAGCCATTCTAGCCGCTGACACCTCTTTTTCTTTGTAGGTGTCATCTATAAAAATGATGCTACGTGCTCCTTCTTTTACTCTTACGTCCTCTTCAGCCCCTTTTCTGTGCAGGTAAAACCAAGCTCCATGGACCCGCTTTTTTTTTTTTTTTTTTTTTTTAAGTAATCTCTACACTGAATGTGGGGCTCGAACTCACAACCCCCGAGATCCAGAGTTGCATGCTCTTCCAACTGAGCTGGCCAGGAGCCCCTCTTTTGTTGTTTCTTATTAGCCCTGATGAGTGAAACTTCAGAGCTCACTTCAAAACCAGGAATCTCTTCAATGAACAAAAAGGAGTCTAAGAAAGTTAGGACGGCAAGGTCTTGTTTCCTCTGCGTTCCTGGAGAGAGAGGTACCGTTCTGCAAATTAGCACAAGGTAATAGACTTTGGTTTGGGCAAGTGTTAAAAGAGAACTTTCTCAAGAATGTTGGTCTTGTGTTATGGGGCAATAAGGCGTGTTGACATCTGTATCCATTACACATGTACTCTGTTTCCTGATCATACAGGCCTGTCTTTGGAAGTCTGCTTTGAACAAAGGGGTTTTGTTAAGATGCCAAGACTTCAGACATCAGCGCTGTGTTATCCTGTGGAAACAAACTCCCCCAGAAATCTGTGATTCCGGTTGGCTGTTTTTTCTAATCCCCGGTTGCCCCGGTAATGAGGTTATAATCGATCCTTCCTTTGTGCCTAAACCGTATATACTCCGAGGACTCCCTGTGGGAAGAGGATGGTTGGTGCTTTCTTTTCCCACGTTTGCGCAATAAAATGACGGCAGCTCTCGTATTTAAACAGTTTGAGAAAGTCTCATCTCACGAAATTATTGCACTGCCACGTGATGATGTTGTACTTATCTGCTTCTTGTCCGTCGCCCTCACTAAAATACCTGCTTGCCAAAGGGCAGGGATTTGTGTCTGGTTTGGGAACTGCTGTGTCTGCGGGCTCAGTAAACAGGCGCTGAATGAATAGGCCAACCACCAAAGCTCTAGAGAGATTCTGACACGTGCGACGAAGACGACTCTGGGTTGGAGGGAAAAAATGTGCCATCACCGGTGGGGGGATTAAGTGGTGTCTCGAGTGTCGGGACTGGACCGGAGCACCCTGGAGAGGGCTTGAGGAGAGGGAAGGGAAGCCTAGGTGAAGCCCTGGGAAACTCCAGAATTTCAAGTTTTGGAGAACTGGGAGAAGACAGCACTGGGGATAGAGGAGGCGAGACCAGTGGAGGAAGTGGCTTTCTCCCACGCCTGGCACATTCGATCCGTGGTCTCTCATACAGTCTCATTTGGTCTTGGTCATTTTCTCTTACTTTTTCGTTTACACAGTTACGCACGGAATTCTGGATCTGCAGCGTCTACTAGGAGGCCCTTAGGGACAGGCTCACATACATACTCAGTCCCACAGCCTCTCGGACTTGCCCTCGGGGTCATTTTTTTTCTGTCATGGATTCCTGGTCTCCTACTAATAGCGTCACACGCACACACACACACTCACGTCTTAACAGCCTCCCTCATTCGGCCACGATCACCGACACTTCCTCTCACCAGTTTTTTACACGCACACACACGCAGTCACGCCTTTAGACGTTTCTACCACTCAGCCCGATTTACAGCCCCCGCTGGTCTCAGGAACTTTCTCGCACACGACCTCAATCACCACCTCTCCTACTTCCTCTCACCCCAGCCCCCATCGGGCACACCCCCCCTCCCCGTCCCTGACGGACGCTAAGGTGCGCCCGCGCACACCCGCACACGCGGCCTCACCGCTCGGCTGCCCAGGTCTCTCTCACACGGCGCCATGTGCCTCCTCGGCTCTCGCTCGGACCGTTCCATGGTCTCTCGTGCTGCTTCAGTCACTCGGCCTCACCATCCTTTTCTCCCTTGCCGTCCCGGTCCCGGAGCCTCTGGGCCAGACTGGAGTAGTACCTGTCATCCATCTGCCACTGGTCTCAGGCACACCCACTCACCCACGTACCCACACGCGCTTACAGCCTCATGCTCCGCACACACGGTCCCGCAGGCTTGGATCTTGGGCCTCACAGTCATCTTCTGTCTCACGGTCAGCTCTTCTCCACAAGGCTCCCAGGACTTCGGTCGCTACGACAGCCTTGCGTGAAGGTTCACACACCATGCGTGTCCCGAGCACAACGCCCTGCGGATTTACAGGCGGGCTTCTCGCCCGCACCCAGGCCCTGACCGGCTCCGCCACACCTTCGTGCCCGTGCGGGCTCACGCGGCGTGTGTCGCTCACCACCGTCAGCCGGTCAAACGGTGTCGGAGGCGCCGGCCCGGCTACCTGTGCCTCAACAGGACGTCACGCGTACCTCCGGGCTCTGCGACAGTGCCTTAGTCCGCACTCAGTCTCCCAGTGATTTTCCAGCGCACGGCCGTAATTTCTCCCACAGACACGGTGTCGTCCGTGGTTCCAGCCGCCAGTCTCTCACGCACACACACGCGATCGCAGCTTTCCACCCTCTCTCTCTTCTTTGCACACCTGGTTACCAATCTGCAGGCTCGCCGGCTGTCTCCGACACACGCTGTCATGCTCTCTCTCACAGTCAGTGTCACACCCTCGCCGCCTTCCACAGAAAGTCATGCCTGTCACAGTCAGTCCCAGTGGCCTCGGGGGGGGGGGGGCGGAAAAAGGCTAGCAGCCTCCAGCGTCACCTTTAAAAATATATATTTACAGGAACAATTCCCCATTCTCTGGGACTCTTAGAAAAAAAGATCCATTTTTGGGGAAGTAAAACAAACAGTGGAGACAGGTGTAGCACCGTCCCCCAAATCACCAACCCCCAGGTCCCTAGGCCCGGGCTGGGCCGGTGCTGATAGGAGGTGAGCCCAGGAGTCCTTTGAACCCACCCTCTCCAGCCTGGAATTCAGATAGGACAGGCTTTATGTCCCCCATTCCTCCCTCCCAACTCCAGGGACACTTAAAGGGTCCTTTGTACCCGCCCGCAGGAAATTGGGGGGCTGGGAGGGAGGGAGCTGAAAATACACGTTTGGTATCAAAAATAAACACTTGCGGGTGGCAGGAAGATCCCCCCCACCAAATCCCTTCCTTCCCACCCACCCCATCTCAGATACAGGAAGAGATGCTCCCCTCTCCCCTATTGAAAAGCCCTGTTTAAAAATAGATTATACTATCAAAATGGCAGGGGGCGGGGGGACAAGGTGACCTGGAGTACTGGCTGGAGGGGCCCCCCAGACGGAGACCACTCCCCAAAAAAACCCTCCATTGGGAGGTAACAGGCAGGACCCCAGGAGTTTGGCAGACACAGGAATGGCTTCTCAGGGGGAGAAGAACAAAAGGGGCATTCCTCCCTGGCCTAAAAGGTGATATCTGAGACAAAGGCTGGGGAGGTGGAAATTCCTATTTCAAGGGTGTGAGTCTTTCCTTGGCCAAGACTCCCAAACCGTTAAACGGCACAAATTCTTCCTGGACCCTCGGGTATGGCCAGGAATAATAAACAACAACAAGCTACCTCTTCTACTCACACCCCAAAATGGAGACAGGGCTCCCTCAGCTTCCCAAGGGCAGGCTGAGAAATAAATAAAGGTCCTTCTCAAGCCAGACCCCGACGGTCTCATCTTGGGGAGAAAATGTGGAGATGGGGGAGATGTCCTCACCAACCCCCCAAAAGGGGTGGGCCAGGCTCCTCCCAGTGGCCTTCAAAAAATAAATAAATAAACCGTCCCCACCACTGCAGTAGGAGACGTGTAAGGGCGGCCACTGGGGAACTGACCGAGAAGAGAGAAGTTGTATGTTTCCTGTGAAAGGGTTACTGAGAGATCTTTCCTAAGAATCCCTACCCCACCACAACTAGAGCGTAAGTCTGTCAGCTGAACTATGTTTCTCCTTGAGACGGCTGGCTGGAGAGAAGTTCAGGGCCATGGATGGAGTGACCCCAGAAGGGGGTGGTGGTGGTGGTGGTGGTAGTCATGGCTTCTGGGGCCCTGGGGAGAGCACCACGGGGGTTGAGAGGCCATCCACGCTGATGGAAGGGATGTGCACCTGGGCGCTGCCACTGGATGGAAACTGGGGACAGAAAGAGGGAAAGATCATGGATGGGGGCCATGCTAGGGCCTCTCACCCTCTCCCAGATGGGGGAAGGGGTTCCTACCTGGAAGGAGAGCTTGGCTGGGCTACGGGGTGCAATGGGACTCAGGGTGCTCCAGAAGTGAATGCTGGGGGGCAGCGAGCTGGGTGTCAGCAGCACCGGGGTCTGTGGGGAAGGGGCGGTTGGAGCTCAAGTGAGTAGAGGGCAGGTGGGGGAAAAACGGAAGGAACGTGGCTCCAGTCCCACCAGATTTCCCACTCAGACTTCTGAGATCACCCTCCCAAAGTGTACAGGCTTACCCCCTAACTGCTAAGGTCAAGCCCATGACACCTCTCCAATGTTACAGACAACCCTCCCAGCTCCCGAGAGCCCACCTCCAGCTTCATTGGGCGAGACCACCTACAAGACCCCATCCACATGTCAATTTCAAAACTCACAGGTCACTATCCCATCAGTTTCGGATCAGCCCCCAACTCTTACACCCCACCAACCCATATACCTCACAGGAAACCCACTAAAGAAATCCCAGACCAAAAAGCCCCATGCAGGATCCCCAAGCCACGCCCCAAACCAGAAAACAGTCCCCCCCCGCCCCCCCGTCCCACGCAAAGCCTCTCGGTCCCCGCCCACAACCCCCCCTCCCCCCAGACCTGCCCTTCCTTCCAACAGCCCGACCCTCGGCACCGGAGACTAGCTCGCCCTCCCAGTTAATCAAGCCCGGTCCCTCCAGCCAATCCCACTCGAAGGCTCCACCCTCCCGCTCACCCAGACATAACCACACTGGCCCCTGCAGTCTAGCTCCTCCCTCACCCGCCGCAGCCCTTCACAGGCACTCACCAATGTGTGCGTAGGTAGCAGGGACGGGGTCAGCGCTGGCCCCGGCGCCTGCAGCCCGGAGCCACTTCCCGATCCTGGGGTCCGTTCGGGTCCTGGCCCACCCAGCAGGCTCGGGCTGAGCGGAAGCTCCAGGTCCCGGGGCTTCCGGCCCTTCTGAGGCTGGGCGATCTCTGTGCTGGAAGCAGTGGAAGCCGCGAGGCCGCCCACCTGCGCCGCAGTCTCCATGACGACCGCGGGCAGCCGGGCCGGCACGCCCTCCGCAGGAGGGACTTCCGGCCCGGCCTTAGCGACTTCCTGCACAAACCCCGCCTCCCCACCGACTGCGGCTTCCAACTCTTCCTTGGGCCCGTCCACTTTCACTTCTGGGGGCAGTGGCCTGCCCAACCCGGGCTCCACATTCAGCTCTTCTGATTTAGGGTTCTGGGCCTCGGGTGGGGTCAGGATGACCTGGGAGAGGAGGGGGGCGGGCAGAGGGGGTGCGTAAGGATTGCTGGGCTAGTGAAGCCAAGGACTTGTCTTGAAAAGCAGGACTTGGTATTGGGGTGGGGGGGGCATGACTACACATCAAGGCAGGTCCACCAGCAGGACGTGAGAGACTTTGCCAAGGACGTGGGGCTTCTTCTGAGGCAGCTTCTCTCTGGGGGACAGGGCTTCCCCTAAGGGTGGGCCTCCTGGGGATACTGCCCTCATTCATGAAAGCAGGGGTTCTCAAAAATTTGCTTTAGGGACTAGCAGCGTGTGCCTCATCTAGAAACTAGTTAAAAAGGCAAATTCTCGTGCTCATCCCCGATACACAGAATCAGAAACTCTCGGGGGTGGGCCCTAGAAATCTGTCCTTTAAAAAGTCCTCCAGGTGATTCTGATGAATGCTTAGCTGAGCGAACCTATGCATTAAGCAAATAACATTCAGGGCACCTCGCATAACTTAGTACTTGCATGGCTCTCCTCCCCACCCCCTTCGCCCAGGGAACTTCTGCGTTCCTCCTTCCACCAAACCTAAATAGGATGTTTATGTCCCTTCTCCAGCACCCCTCCTCATCTGGGAATTGTACCCCCACCCTCTTATTGAATTTCCATATTCCAGTCCTTACCTGCAGAGGCAGGCCGGCCTCCTCGGCCTCCAGGCAGGCCTCCAAGGGGCTTGGACTGGTGCTCCTGCTCCCAGATGGGGGCACTGCTGCTCCCGAAGGGGCGGTGTTGGGGAGCACTGAGGCAGGCCGAGGATGAGGGGGCGGCTGTGGCTGTGGCTGCAGGGACTGGATGGTGAAGGTGGAATAGAGGCCTGAGCGCATGTACTCGTTCCGGCTGCTGCGTGCCAAGCCACCCGGGCCTGCCATTCCTGCACCCTTGGGTGTGCCTGGTTTCCCAGAGGCAGCGTCCCCGGGGACAGCATGTATAGCAGTGGGGGCCACATTTGCCACAGTAGAGGTGATGGACACCTCGGGCTGGGGCGGGCAGTCCTCAGTGGAGCACCTCGCGACTTCGGGGTAGGACACAAACTTGTAGACGAACTTCTGGCCGCTCACTTTGCGGATGATGTTCTGGGAAGGGAGGAGATAGGATAAAGGGCCTTAGAAGAGAGGGCCCGGAGTGGAGGGAGGGTATGGATGAGGGGGCAGAGGGGTGTGTCTCCCAGGGTCCTTCTTGCCCCTCTCCTGTCTTTTTACATATACACCATTCCACCTCCACATCTGCCCCCAACTAGGTACCCTCCCTCCCAGCCCACTTCTCACCTGCGTCTTTCCCAATTTGGGGGCTCCTCCCTTCTCCTCCTTCCGTTTCTACCTCTCTTCCCCATTGTGATTCCCCGCTCTGTATTCTTCCCAGTGTCTCCCCTTTCCCTCTTCTCCCTTCCACAACTCTTCCTTTAGTATACTGCCCTTCTCCCCTGTGTGTCTCCTTCCCATCCATCCCTCTCCACATCTCCCCGTCACTCTTCATCTCCATCTGTCCAGTCCCCCCACCCCCACCTCAGAGACACACACCCACACCCCGTGGCACCTCTCCACAATGGGGCCCACCTAGGGGAGTCGGTGCAGGAGCAGGCTTTCCTCCTGGCTCCCAGAACCAAGGGTGTCTGTGGACTAACAGGGCCAGGCCTTGGGGGTGGCTGCCAGGACAGGTGGGGAGTGTGGCTGATGCAGTAAGACAGGAAAATGAAGTAACTGATGTAAATATTGGAAGAGACCAAATTAATATAGAAGATTGTGGTGCTGAATTATTAATATAGAGGATTATTTAAAGCTATCGATAGAGATGTAGAATAGGGCAAGGTCACTAGGGAGAACAGGCTGAGAAGCCTCACTCTTGTTTTTGTTTTGGGGCTTTTTTTGGTTCTCATAATTTATTTCTTGACTTAGCTGTAACTGAGGAGCCTCATTCTTAATACTGTGGTACAGGCGGCACCTGGGTGGCTCAGTCAGTTAGGCGTCTGCCTTCGGCTCAGGTCATGATCCCAGGGTCCTGGGATCGAGCCCCGCATCGGGCTCCCTGCTCCACGGGAAGCCTGCTTCTCCCTCTCCCCCTCCCCCTGCTTGTGTTCCCTCTCCCGCTGTGTCTCTGTCAAATAAATAAATAAAGGGGAAATTTAGGGCACCTGGGTGGCTGCTTCTCCCTCTCCCACTCCCCCTGCTTATGTTCCCTCTCTCGCTGTGTCTCCCTCGGTCAAATAAAGAAAGAAAATCTTAAAAAAAATAAAAAATACTGTGGTACAGGTTTAAGCTAAGGCAATTAGAAAATGAGGTGACTGATAGCAACCAGATAAGAGCATTAAAATACTGGTATTAATATTGGGGGGAATCTCAAGGCTGGCTGGGTGGATTGCAGAACATGTCTAAGATATTTCAGGATAGGTCTGGAGGGTCTCAGGGATGTTGTGGTGGTCTCAGAGCACAGAATGAGGCAGCCTCAATATTATTTTGGAGGCTTCAGCTAAAGGAATAAAATACAAGAATGGAATAATTGCTATAATTTATGGTATGCAGCAGAGGTCCAGGGCTGTTCTGGGGGACAAAAGGCAGCTGGGGGGCACTAGGGCACCCTAGAGACATCTTAATGCTGGTCAGGTACGTCACAGGGTGGGTTTGTGTTTCTCAGAAAAGGAATGAAAAGGGATATTCATTAATATTGTTTTGGAAGTTTCAGATAAAGAAGAAAATGAAGGGTGAGGGACGGGAAATCCATCCAGCACTTGTCTGAGAGTCTAAGAGGATGAGGAAAATATAAAATTTTAGCTATATGAATAAGATGATAAAATAATAAATGCTGGGGCGGACCAGTGTTGCTTTGGGGATGCATGAGAAGGGAGTGTGGGGCTGGCATTATACGCGTTCTTTATTTTAGCTAAAGGAATGAGAGAAGAAAAGAACTGACAAAAGTGTTCAGTATCCTAGAGGATGAGGTAAGGAAAGGTTAGTATAATATTGCCGTGGACATTTTGATGCTAGGTAGAAGAATATTCTGGAATTCTTATTCTGGAATAAGAGCAGGTTATGAAATAACTGAGGAAGTCAGGACTGCTCCAGTTCCAGAAGACAGGATAAGGAAGTCATTATTAATACTGTTTTTCAAATTTTTAGCTATAGGCATAAGACAAGAAAATGAAATGTTGGGTGGGGTGTAGTAGAACAGCATGACCTTGGGGGCCTCAGAAAGTGGGTGAGTAGGGGTATTAGTATTACTATGAAGGTTTCAGCCTTAAAGCAATTAAGACAAAGAAAATACCTGAGATTGGGGCGCCTGGGTGGCTCAGTTGGTTAGGTGACTGCCTTCGGCTTGGGTCATGATCCCAGGGTCCTGGGATCGAGCCCCATGTCGGGCTCCCTGCTCAGCAGGGGAATCTGCTTCTCCCCCTCCCCCTGCTCATGCTCTCTCTCTCATTCACTCTCTCTCTTTCAAATAAATAAATAAAATCTTAGAAAAAAAAGAAAAAGAAAATACCTGAGATAAACGTTTGGGGTGCCCAACATTGGTCTGAGAGTTCGAGAGGAGAGGGTAAAAAACAGTAGATTCTGTTTTCAAATTTATAGCTATGACAATTAAGACAAGAAAATGAAATAACTGACATAAATGTCAGGGGTCCCCAGGCCTGGTCCCAGAGGCCTTACCTTGTCATAGTAATACCGCAGGGCCCGGCTGAGCTTGTCGTAATTCATGTTGGTCTTGTTCTTACGCAGGCCCCACAGCCGGGCCACCTCCTCAGCATCCACCAGCTTGAACTCACCGCCATCCCGTGAGGTCCAGGAGATGATGTGGCCGTTGCCTTGCTCTCTCAGCAGCTGCAGCAGAAACTGCCACAGCGTCACAGAGGGGTCCATCGCTGGGGGAGCGCTCACGCCATCCCAGGGGTACCTGGAGGGCAGATGGCTCAGAGCTGAGAGGCTGTGAACACAGACGGAGGCAGAGGTCAATGGGAGAAGGATTGCTTTCTTGCCATCTTATCTCCACCTCTATTCCCAAAGCCCACCATCATTCCTAAACACCCTCAGACTGAATTCTAAGCTCCTCAGCCTGGCTTTGGATGACTCCCCATAATGATAGGAGACTTTTGGGGACAAGAGGATGGTGTGAATGTATTTTGCATGTGGGACAAACGTGAATCTTTGGGGGCCAGAGGACAGACTGTGGTAGGCAAAATAATGCCCCTCTCAGAAATGTCCACATCCTAATCTCTGGAACCTATGAGTATATTATGTACATGGCAAAAGGAACTTTGCAGATGAACTTAAGGTTACAGTAAAACCTTTTCTCTTATCTGCAGGGGATATGTTTCAAGACCCCCAGTGGATGCCTGAAACTGTGGACAGGACCAAACCCTACATATACTATGTTGTTTCCTATACATATACACACAATAAAGTTTAATTTATAAATCAGGCACAGTAAGAGATTAACAACAATAACTAATAATAAAATAGAACGATGACGGCAATATATTAGAATAAAAGTTATGTGAATGTGCTCTCTCAATATCTTATCGTTCTGTACTCACCCTTCTTCTTGTGATGATGTGGGATGATTAAATACCCATATAATGAGATGAAGTGAGGTAATGACGTAGGCACTGTGACATAGTATTAGGCTACCACTGACCTTCTGATGACAGGTCAGGAGGATCATCTTCTGCTTGACCACGGGTAACTGAAACCGCGGAAAGCAAAGATGCAGATAAGGGGGGGTAACCACTGTATGGACCTTAGGGAGATTGTTCTGGATTATGTGAGTGAGCTGAATCTAATCACAGGAACTCTTACTAAAAAAAGCAAGAGGCAGAAAGAGAGCTCTGAGAGATGCAACGACAGAAGAGGCAGGAGAGATTCAAAGCATGAGAGGGACCTGACCTGCCATTACTGGCTTTGAAGATGGAAGAACAGAGCTCGAGCCTGGGAAAATGGTGGCCTCACAAAGGTGGGAATGACCCTCAGCTGACCGTCAGTAAGGAAACAAAGACCTTAATCCTACAACCTCAACGAACTGAATTCTGCCAGCAACTTGAATGAGCAGGAACCAGATCCTGCCCTGGAGCCTCCAGAAAGGAAGGCAGCCCTGCCCACACCTGGGTTTCAGCCTGGTGAGGCTGTGCTGGACTTCTGACCTCCAGAGCGCCGAGATAATAATAATTTGCATTTTTTAAAAAGATTTTATTTATTTATTTGACAGAGAGAGACACAGCGAGAGAGGGAACACAAGCAGGGGGAGTGGGATAGGGAGAAGCAGGCTCCCCGCAGAGCAGGGAGCCTGATGTGGGACTCGATCCCAGGACCCTGGGATCGTGACCTGAGCTGAAGGCAGTCGCTTAACTGACTGAGCCACCCAGGTGCCCAATTTGCATTGTTTTAAGCAGCTATATTTGCAATAATTTGTTACAGCAGGAGTAGAAAACTAGTAATAGTGCCCCTCACCTGAATGTTTTCATTTGCATCCTCTGCCACATCAAATATCAAGTTTCCCAGGAGGTTCCTTCTGCTAGCCCCCCGCAAAAGCTGTTCACGCCGTGTGGGGCTCCCTTCTGCCTAGAAGTCTTCCCCATCGTTCCAGTCCCAGCCACAGGAGCCGTGCCTTTCTGAAGCCTTCTTGAAACTCAATGCCTGCTCTCTTCTGTCTACTTTGCACTCCTTGGGCCTGCTATGGTCCCTTTATGTTCTCCTTCTTGGTACCAGCAATAACTAACATTTGCTGAGTTCATAATGCTTGGCTGGCATTGTTCAAATCAGGCAATATGGCCTAACAGACAAGCACTCAGGCTCTAGAGCCAGATTGCCAGGACTGGAATCCTGGTTCTGCTACTTATTAGCAGTGTGACCCTGGGCAAATGCTTTAACTTCTTTGTGCCTCAATTTTCCCATCTGTAAAATAGGGATAATAACATGCTCACCTGTGAAATAGGGATACTAATAATACCAAGTTCATAGAGTTATTGTACAGATTAAATATCATGTGCCTGGAGTATGATAAGCTTTTAATAGATATTAGTTTCCAATTTTTTCATAATTCCTTATCTGCTATTCCAAAATCCAAAAAGCTCTAAAAACAGAAAATTTCTTGGGGCACCTGGATGGTGCAGTCAGACAAGCATCTGACTCTTGGTTTCAGCTCAGGTCATGATCTCAGGGTCGTGGGACCCAAGCCCTGCATCGGGCCACATGCTCAGCGCCATGTCAGCTTGGGGATTCTCGCTCTCCTTCTCCCTCTGCCCCTACCCCCGCACATGCAGATAAATAAATAAATAAATAAATTTAAATTTAAAATAAATTTAAATAAATAAAATAAATAATAAATAAATATTTCTTTATTCTCAAATAAATAAATAAATTTTTAAAAACAAAACAACAAAACAAAAAACCGGAAAACTTCTTTATCACCCTTTGGGCAGCAAAAAGAGATTTGAAATGAACGAGGCCCTTTCTGGTCTTTAGTGATTCTCACTTAGTGTGACTGTTTATACATTCTGCTACAGAAACCTGAATGTGGCTGATTACTGAGCCCACTGAGGGCATTATGTAACATATTCTATGTGCACCTTGTCACCTTTCTAAAATCTGAAAAATCTGAAATTCTGAAACACATCTGGCCCCAAGGGTTTTGGATAAGGGCATGCAGACCTGTACTGCTATTTTTATAGGTACTGACTCATTTATCGTTCATCACAACTCTGGAAAGTAGGTGCTCTTTATCATCACTAATTTACAGAGGAGGAAGCTGAGGTACAAAATGTCCAGATGATGTCTATGGGCCACAGAGCCCAAATGGCACAGCCAGGATTTGGATCCCAGGCAGTCAGATTCCCGTTGTCTAAGCACATAAACCATTAGGCTAAACTGCCCCCACGCTGCTCCCTCAGCACATCCCGCACGGAACGGGCCCTTCCCCACCCCCCTCTTTGCTGCACTGGAGGGTGATTTGGAAATAAACATGGAGCTTCCTATTCCTTAAGGAATGAGCTTTCATCGATCGACTGTTCACTGGCTGGGACTGTTGGGTTATGAATAAGACCTCCCAAACCAGGTTTTAAAGAACCTTCCTTCATTCTTTAATCTGTAATGAAATACACAGGATGATCAGCATGATCCTCTCATGTCTGAGCTGGTTTGAAGTTCATTGGGTGGACACAGTTTTAGGCTATCATACAAGTCACAAAACCATGAAGTGTCCACGTTTGAGAGCCCTGTCATCAGAGGCTTTACTGAGTTGACTTCAAAGACCGGCTTGTTTCAGAGGCACAAAGAGTTCAGTGTGACTCCTGGTGGCGAAGACAGGCAATTTTACCAGATCCTCTTTCAGCCGTGAGAGGACCTATTAATTAAGGTAAAATCTGACCCTTTGCTCCAAGCCTCAACAGCACACGGGGTTTTGTGTTTTGTTTATTATCGTATTTCCCACTTGACCCCTCATAAGAGGTCTAGTAATCTGCCTTCCTCGGGTGTGTTGACTTCTCTTCGTCTCATTCATTTAGTAAGCATCTACTGAGCGCCCACTGTGGGCTGGGGGCTGGGGGTATAGCCGTGAACAAAACAAAAATCCCTGCTCTAGTGGAATTCACATTTCAGTGGGGAAGACAGTTAAGAAAGAAGGTAAATGAGTCAAAGAGTATGTCAGATGGCGAGAAGAGCTATGGAAAAAATGAGGCAGGGAAGGGGCTGTTATTTTTGAAAGGGTAGTCAGGGGAGGGTAGGCCCCGAGCAGGGGCCATGTGAGCAAACACCTAAATGAGGCGAGCGAGTCAGGTCTGCGATGACCCGGGGAGCAGGTCGATCCAGGCAGAAGACACAGCCAGGGTGAACAACCCTGAGGCTGGAGCGCGCTGGGCAGGTCAGAGGAAGAGCAAGGAGCCGGGCAAGGTCAGAGAGGAGGGAGGAAGGGTACAAAAAGGAGTAGGGAGGTGAGAACAGAGGGGCCATGGGGGCCAGACTGAGTGAGGCCTTTCCGGGCCCTGCCAGGCCTTTGACTATGAGTGAGAGAAGAGCCACACGAGGGCTGTGAGCAGAGGGGCAACAAGCCGTGACCTGGATTCTAACAGGATCCTTCTGGCCATTGTGAGGAGAGAACGGGCTGGAGGGGTCTGCAGACGGTCCAAGTTAGTGATGGTGGCGGCGGCAGTGGAACTGGGGAGGAATGGCTGAGTTCTGGATGAAATGTGGAAACAGAGTGAGCAGGATTTGCTGACAAGAAAGTATGGGGCGGGGGGAGAGTGAGAGTGACATCACCAAGGGTGATTCTAGGTTTGCGGCCTGAGCACCGGAAGGATGGAGCTGGGGACAGACTGAGATGGGAGCGCCGCGGGAGAGCAGGGTTCGAGGTAAGATCGGGAGGTCAATTCTGGAGATGGTCTCAGAGGCCTGCTCGACACCGATATGTATGCGATGAATAATGATACTCATTTTCAAAACGGTCCTACAACCCCTACTGTGTGTCACACACCGTTTTAGTCGTTTTAGCTCACGCGGTCATGAAGCAACACTGTGGGGCGGGCATTATTATGATCCTCCCATTTTCCAGATGAGGAAATAGGGGCGGAGTTCAGTCACTTGCCCAGAGTTCTGCAGCTGGAAGCCGGCAGAGCTGGGGTTCGAGCCCAGGCAGTCTGGCTGCAGGCAGGGATCCCGGGGCTTTACAACAGCCACCCTCTATGAAGAGAAACAGAGAAGGAAGACCCTAGCGGGGGTCGGGGATGGTATTTCACACAGGGTGAGCAGGGAGGGCTCCCCGAGGAAGTGACTCGTGGAGGTAGCAAGCCATGCGGCCATCTGTGGGAAGGGTCTTCGTACAAAGACTAAGGTGCCCACGAGCTTGGCACCCTACAGCATGGGCACCATGCGTTCATCCAGTTTCCACTTCGGAGGATATGTTTGTACCCTACCCCCTTCTCACACCTGATAAACTCTTTATTAGATGATCCTCAAGTTCTGCCATCTCCCGGGCAGAATGAATTCTTCCTCTGTGTGATCCAGTGTGCCGAATAAACCTCTGTGCTCTTGCAAAGCTCTCCTCTCTGGGTCTCCATTCTCCTACTCCTCTGACCTGCTCTAGCTGTGCGACCTCGAGCAAGTTACTTAATCTCTCTGGCTCTGTTTCTGCATCTGCAAAAGATCCTCAAAATACACTATTCTCAAAGGCTTCTGTGGGGATAAGTGCCAATACATGTAAAGGACTTAGAAAAGTATCTCTGGCATGTGGTAGACACTCGACAAATGTTAGCTCTTAGCTCGTGTACCAGCGTTCTCCCTCCCCCCACTCCCCAACCTTATTTATCACCATGGCCTACACCATCTGGCTCCCATCACTGCTCTAACCTTGCCTCCTGCCTGCCTCCCTCCCTCCCCTCTGCTCCAGCCACAATGGCCTCCTTCACGTTTCTTGAATGTACTAGGCACAATCCCACCACAGGGCCTTTGCACCGGCTGTTCCTTCTGCCCCTAGAACACTCTTCCCCTAGACATTATGGCTTCCTCCCTGATCTCCTTCAGGCCTCAATTCAAGAGTCACCTTCTAAGTGAGGCCTGCCCGGTGCCTAAGATTTCAACCACCCCCATACTCTCTCCCTGTCTTCCCTACTTCATTTTCCCCCTTAGCGCCTGTCTAACATACTAATTTTACTTACTGTTTTATTTATATAGTCTGTCTCCCCCACTTTTAGCAAACGTCTGCTCCACAAGGACAGGAATTTCTGCCTGTTCTGTTCCCTCCCATATCCCCAGCACCTAGAAGAGTGCCTGGTACTCAGTAGGTGCTAAGTGTTTGCTGAATGAACAGTCTCAACTAGCTTCTTTAACTAGCTCTCATATGCCCTCTTCATCTCCATCTCCCCCACCATCCTGATTTGTCTGAAATAATATTTTTCACATTCATTCATGCAATAAATTTACTGGGCACCTACTATATACTAAGTATATTTACCCAGCAGTAAATAAGCAAACAAGAAACTGTAAGCCCTCATGGGACTCCCTTTCCAATGGGGAGGGACAATAAACTGGTAAACTACACAGTGTATCTGATGGTGACCAAGAGCAAAGGGACCAATAAAGCCGAGAAGGGCCCTGAGGCCTGCTAAGTATGCAGGTTCAGATGGTCAGGGACAGGCTGACATTTGAACAGAGCTCTGAAAGGAATCATGCGGAGATCAGGGGGAGAGTGTTCCAGGCAGAAAACAGAACCGATGCAAAGGCCCTGAGGCTGGACTGCATCTGCTGTGTTTGAGGATGAGTGAGGAGCTCAGTGTGGCTGGCACAGAGTTGGGGGGATAAGGTGCAGGAGGTGAGGCCAGGGAGGTGACTTGTTTTATTAACTGCCAGGGATGCTTCACACTGTGAGGGGATTCTAGTTCTGATTCCTCCATTTTAGAAATGAGGAAGCAGGGGCAGAGAGAAAGTGGTTAAATCATTCGGGTCATACAGCTGCTGTGATTGGGGATGGAGGGGTGCTGAGACAAGGTGTGGAGTGGAGACAGCTCTGCAGGCAGGGGTGATGGCAAGAACAAAAAGCTTGGAGATGGCAAGTAATTTGGTGTTTAAGGAGTGGGGTCTCATGTGGGATGGGATGAAGTGAGAGAGGGGAGCCTCAAAAATTATTCTGTGTTCTGAGGGGCAACCTAACTGGGTACTTACCTCCGAATAAGATACTGAACCCCCTGAGTACCTGTCTCACAGGGTTGTGGTGAGAATTAAATGAGCTCACTGATACAAAGCACTTTGCCAGGTTCCACCAGGTGCTCAATAAACCTTAGCTTCTAATGGCATTATCACTATCTCTGATGCATCCACTTATTGGAGGGAGGCAGAATGTCTTAGGAGTTAATGATGTGTATGAGGGGGTGTGTTCTAGAGTAAAAAAGACCTGGGTTCAACAAGCACACGGGATGAGCCACTGCTAAGGAGGGAGGGGGGCAGGGAAGGCCATGGACTGATCCACCACGAGGAAAGGAGGGACAAAATAAAAGCACCCTCCTGGAGGAGGAATTACAAAGCACTGGACTCAGGGGAGGGCATGGGGGTGTGTGCCTGAATGCAAGCACATGGGTAGCCGGGAAGCCAATGAACAGATCCACTGCAAAGGCCGGGGAGGGGGGGCGGAGTGCAAAGGTTCATCTTATTTATGGGGGGGCGGGCAGAGCAAGGGGAGCAGAAAGACATACTGACTGTACCACAGGAGATGGGGTGAAAAGCCATCACACAGACTGCTTAAAAGGAAAAGGGAACGAGGCCATGGACTGGGCTACTGAAAACGGGGAGATAAAAAGCACTAAACTGACTCACTATTAAAAGGAAGGGGGAAGCCCAAGGACTGGAGCAACAGTCTACAAAAAAAGGAGAGGGCAATGGGCTGATGACTAGGCGGATGTGAATACAAGCCTTTAGACTGGTACACTGTAAAACGGGGTGTGTGACAGAACCATGGACTGATGCACTGGGGGACTGGAGGAGGCAGGAATACAACTTCACAGATTAACTCACTGTTAAAGGGGGTGGGGGGTGTACAACGCCACGGATTGATTCACTACAAGGAACAGGAGTCGTGGAACAAACAAGGCCACAGACGGGGCCCTTGAAAGTTGAGGACAGGAGAAAAACAAACATTCAGATGCACCTACTGTCAAGGCGCCGGACAATGCCAGAGCCGGCTCCCCTCTAAGTGGGGGTGGGGGCAGGACCATGGACGAGTCCACTGTAAGGTGGGGTGGGGAGAAAATACAAGCACGCAGAGCGATCCATTATAAAACAGGAAGGGGGGGCTCAGGCCACGCTCAGATCCACTACAAGGGGCGAAGGGAGGGGACAATACCACAGGCAGGTCCACCAGCCGTGGTGGTGGCGGTGGGCAGTCGAACACCAGCAGGCCACGGGCCAAGCCACATCCCTCGCGCGGGGGCGGGAAGGATACGTGGGGTCACGGACGGGCCCTCCACCCTCCAAGCCCCGGGCTCACCTGTGTGTAGCGCAGTGGCAGTATTGGCAGCTCCGGGGGGCGGGGGCTCCATGCGCAGCCCCACCGCCCCCCAGGCCCGGGCTCCGAGGCGGTGGCGGTGGCGGCGGCGGCGGCAGCGGCGGCAGCACCTAGAAGCCGCCCCTGCGTTTCCTCACCGCTCACGTGGGCCTACGGAGGAGGAGCCGAGCATTCTGCCGCTCGTGGGTTGGACAGAGCGCCTTGGATCGACCGCGCGGCTTCCAGGGTTGGGGAGGCGGGCCCTGCCCCACAGAGCTGTGCCGTGACTGGCCCAAGGGAGACTGATGGAACGCAGATGGCCGCCTGGGTTCCGAGGGGGCGTGCTGGGCCCCACCGGCGCTTCACGCTGATTGGCTCAAGACTGACAGCCCGTGGGCGATTGACAAGACTCTGGGGGCGCCTGCCTCACAATGATTGGCCTACACGGAAGACAGCCTTCGAGGACAAGGGTGGATGGACTCTGCTTTCTGCTGATTGGCGGAGGAGGGACTCCAGACAGCTGCCAAAACACCAACGGGGCGGTGCTGCACTCCACGCTGCTCAGCGGAAGCAGGCCTTGTATGGAAGTGGGCGTAGCAGCAGGCTGGCAGGGGGCTGGGCCAGGGCTGTGCGTAGGTGGGCAGGGTAACTCTGTAGTGATTGGCTAGAAAAGACGATTTTAGAACGGAGCCCAGATAGGAGGGGTTGGACAGCAGCCAGGCACGCAAAGGAGCGCTGAGTGGCGGAATCTAAATGCCTACGAGGAGGTCAGCGTCGAGCAGCAGCCAGTTATAAAGGGGCGGAACCTGGCTCTGCGTTGATTGGCGGAAGCTGGACTCAACCTAAAATAGGGGCCGGACTAAGAAGGGCGGGATGCGGCTCTGTGCCCATTGGTGGAAGCTGGAACTATTTAGAAGCGGGGTGAGGCCAAGGTTGGGCCGAGACGGGCGTGGGTGTATTCTAAGGTACCCCGGTCATGATTGGGGTGGGGGAGAGGCGCAAACCTTAGGGCCAGGAATGAAAGGCTGATTGTCTTGGGAACAAACCTCCACCCTGAATCGGCCCATTCTCTATGATAAGTCAGAGTTATGTCCAGGAAAATAAACAGAAAAAAAGAGAAGGGTCAGGTGGGAGGTCCAGGTTGCCAAGGCGACAGAAAAGAGGGCAAAGCGGAAAGTCAAGTGGCAAATGCTGCCAGGCAACAGGCTGGAGGCGGGACTTCAGGGGTGCTTTATAGGTTCCACACAGAGACTGGATCTCTGGGGCTCCTGGTAACTTTGTGCTTTAGAAACAAGGCACCTTAGCAAACAGCAAGGGTTTAGGTGGGGAAAGAAGGGCCATGTGACTCAAAGGCATTCAGGCTCTTTAATGTCTGAGGAGGTGGGGAAGAAGTCAATGGTGAGGTGTTTCCGGGAAATTCTGCAGGCCTTGTAGTTCTCTAAGCCCCTGAAAAAGAGGACAGAAGAGACTGAGCAGAGACTGGGTCCAGGCCTCCACCCAGGCTTGCTGTGACCTCCCCTCCCTCAGAGCCAGCCTGGCTCCAGCTTGGCTCCAGCTTAGAGAGAAAGATGGTCCTTCCCATCCCTGGCTCTCTCCCTTCCTCAGGTCACACCACCCTGAACACGTCTGGAGATGGAGTGGGAGTGGGGTGAGCTGCTCTCACCTCTAGCAACATGTGGATATGGGCCTTGATATTCATGGAGTCCTTGGTGAGGCTGTCGCTGAGCCTGGAGAAAAGAAACAAGAAAGGGCGAAGTGGGCCCCACTTATGCTCATGAGGATGATGCTTCCGCATCACTTCCAGAACTACCTGCGTCCTGGAGGACTTCCACGTGGCAGGCGGTAGGTCATGCTACTGCCCGACCACTCCTGTGTACAGATGCCTGGCCACCATCTGGACTGCACTGATTCAGAGATGCTGATTGAATCCCTACTCTATGCCAGGCAATTTTAGCTACTGGGGAGAGAACAGCAAACACAACAAACAAAAATCTCAGCCTTGTGGAGCTCGAGTTCTCATTAAGAGGGACAAATTATGGAATAACATCTAAAGTATGTCAGATGGCTATAAGTAAAATGAAAAAGTTAAATGATGAGAGAGGATAAGGAGTGCAGGAGCAGGGGCTACAGTTCTAATGAGAGTACTTAACAAATGGCTGCACGAGAAGCGTTTGAGTAAAGACTTAAAGAAGTGGATCATGTGGATAGATGGAAGACGAATGTTCCAGACACAAGGGCCAGCACATGCCAAGATGCTGAGGTGGGAGTGTACCTGGTGTGTCTGAAGCACAGCAAAGAGGCTGGTGTGGCTGAAGAAGACTAAGTGAAGGGGGAACTGTGGGAGGTGAGGTCAGAGAGGTAAGCTGGGGAGGCAGATCGTGTGAAACCCACAAGGCTCTGACTTTTACTCTAAGTGAAATGGGAGCCAAGGGAGGCATGTGATCAGAGAAGGGATGTGCACTGACAAGGGTTTTTTTTTAAGATTTTATTTATTTATTTGAGAGAGAGAGCGAGAGAGAGTGAGTGAGCATGAGCAGGGGGAGGGGCAGAGGGAGAGGAGGAAGCAGACTCCCTGCTGAGCAGGGAGCCCGATGCGGGGCTCGATCCCAGGACACTGAGATCATGACCTGAGCTGAAGTCAGATGCTTAACCGACTGAGCCACCCAGGCGCCCCACCGACTAGGGTTTAAGCAGATCCATCTGGCTGCGGTGTGGAGGACTGGGGATAAGGAGAGCTAGTGTGGAAGCAGGAAGTCCAGTGAGAAGGCTACTGTAATAGCCCAGGTGAGAGACAGAGACTCAGACCAGTGTCAGCAGCTGAGGTGATGATTAGTGACTGGATTTGGAATATATTTTGAAGGCAGAATCAACAGGATTTACCAAACGGTTGGATGTCAGGTATGAGAGAGAGGACTCAAGGAAGATGCCAAGGCCTAAGCAACTGGGAAGCTGGAGTTGCCTGAAACCACTCTGGCCCTTGACTGTTGAGTTACATAAACCAGTCAGTTCCTTATATCTTCTGGGCCGATTGGGATCAGTCTCACCCAAAAGAATCCTAATTGATACAAAGGACCGAAGAAGGCCCTTCTGAAGAATAAAGAATGAGTAAGAGTTGAATAGTAAGAGAAGGTCTTTTCCCCAAAAAGGCCAAGAGGCGGGAAAGAGCTTTGGAAGAGCAGTCAGGAAGTCAGAGGGTTAGGAATTAAGTGAATCGTGGAAGGAAAGTGGTACAAGAGAAGGTCCGAGATGTAGGAAGGGGCTGGATCACTCAGGGTCTTGATACTATGATAAGAAAGGTGGATTTTATTGTGCTGAACTTCTATCAAAGTAGAAATCAATGTTAGGCAAACTAGATACGGTAAGGAAAGTAGAAGGTAACAATACAGAATGTTAAATTGGAAAAAAAAAAATACAGCACTGTAAACCCGTTTATATATCAGCATCTCCCAGATTTATATTTTCAGTCCAGACCCCTCTCCTGAACTCCAGCCTTGGGAGTTTTAACTACACCTTCCAAAACTCCACTTCAGTGTTTAATAAGCACCTTATACTGAACAGGTCCTAGGCTGAACTCCTGCATCTTCCTCTCCAAATCTGCTCCTTCTCCATCTTCTCCCTCTCAGATAATGGCAGCTCCATCCTTCTAGTTGTTCAACCCAAAACTCTCACACCCCACATCCAATCAAGCATTCTATTTAAAATTGCAACTGCTCCATCCTAGGCAATGTTTCATTTCTTTTTTTTTATTTTTTTAAGATTTATTTATTTGAGAGAGAGAGAGTAGAGGAGGGGCAAAGGGAGAGGGAGAAAGAGAAACCTCAAGCAGACTCCCCACTGAGCACAAACCCTCACACAGGGCTCAGTCTCAGGACCCTGAGATCATGACCTGAGCCAAAATCAAGAGTCTGGTGGCTTAACTGACTGAGCGACCCAGGCACCCATCCTTTTTTTAATTATTAAAGTATAATTGACATGTAACATTAGTTTCAGGGGTACAACATAATGATTCGATATTTGTATACATTGTGAAATGATCATCACAGTAAGACTAATTAGCATTTGTCATCATACAAAGTTACAAAAAAATTTTTCCCAAGCAATGTTTTTTCTCTCCGTCCCCTGCTGTTCTCTGTAGCATTGCCGACCTGGGACACACTACATCACTTACTTATTTTTTATTGTCTGGCTTCCCTGACTAGAATGTAAGCGATGTAAGGGCAGAGGACAGAGACCAGTCTGCTTTGTTCCCTGCTGTATCCCCAGGATGCAAACTGTGTGTGGCACATAGTAGGCGCCAATGTATGTTGAATGAATGACTGAATGACCACTCCATTCAAAGGTACCTGAAGTCCTCAGGAGACGGTTGAGTGTATGTTTAAAGACAAGAAATCAATGAAACATGGTATTGTTGCCGAGAGCAAGAATGCTTTCAAGAATATCTGGGGTAGTACTCAAAGAACAGAGTAATGAACCTGATCAGCTTCTAAGGGCAATCTGAACATCAGTAAAGAGAACAAAATTAGTTAATGGTACAAGCGTAGTCTAGGAAAGGCTATGAGTTGCAACACTTTTAAAAAAAAGGAGAAAAATACAAAGTCTACCAAATGCTAGTTGTAACACAAATGAGAGATGTTTAATTTTTTGCTACTGTTGCAATATATAAGGCAGTGTTAATAGTCAAATGGTTACTCTGTCTCTTCTCTCTTTTTTTAAAAAGATTTTATTTTGAAGCAGTCTCCACACCCAGGGTGGGGCTTGAACCCACAACCCTGAGATCAAGAGTCACGCGCTCCACACACTGAGTCAGCCAGGTGCCCCTATTCTGTCTCTTCTATAGTTACATGTCTCTGGACGTGTATTCCTTTCTGTGTAATCAGGAAAGAATATACACACAGATCTGATCCTCCCACTCCCCAAAGAAATATGCTAAAAATAAGAAGGACTGACAGTCCTTTTGGTTGCATAAAATAACCTGAAAGAAAGTTAGTTCGAAGTGTGTCCCAAGGAACAAAGTATTTTAAAGAGGAGAGTGAACTACCCAGACTCAAATCTTCATCTCCTAGAAAGATTAAACTTCTAGGAAGCGCTCCTAATTATAATAAAATAACAAGAGACTCAATCACATTTCTCATTACACTAATAAACCAGATAAATATATCAAAAAGATCAGACAAGGAGGGAGGCACTGATAATTTAAATATATTTTTGGGAAAGACATCAAGTCTCAAAAAATTAAAATTTCTATCTGAAAGGCTCAGGAATCCTGTGACATAACCAGGAAAGTTTTGTTATAAAAAATGGATGTGGGGCGCCTGGGTGGCTCAATCGGTTAAGCGTCTGCCTTCGGCTCGGGTCATGATCCCAGGGTCCTGGGATCGAGCCCTGCATTGGGCTCCCTGCTCGGCAGGAAGCCTGCTTCTCCCTCTCCCGCTCTCCCTGGTGTTCCCTCTCTCGTTCTCTGTCAAATAAATAAATAAAATCTTAAAAAAAAAAAATGGATGTGGTCTAAATGACCACTAGTTCAGAACTGTGTTGGCCCATGAAAGCAGGCCCCTTGACCCCTTCACCAATTGGTCTGATCACTAAGATTTAGAAATCTCAGCAGATCTGAGGCTCTTTTGGGTCTACTAACACTGAAACCTTGGAGTGGTTTGAAAAGAGAAGAATTACTAAAACCACGAGAGAGCCAACTCTGGCAGAAATGAATGTAGGAATAAATATAACCCAGAAGGCATTTTAGATCAGTGGTATTCATTCTTGTGAGATGGTATTATCTAAGTGTATTGCTTGGTGTCCCCTCTCTTGGCATGTTTGCCTCTCTTGGCAATTCTGCTAACGTGGCAGTCACATGTGGTCCCCTTGCCAGGAATGCTCTCCCCAGATAGCCCCATGGCTTGTTCACTCAACCAAGAGACTCAAATGTCATTTCCCCTGGAAGGCCTTCCCTGCATTTCAAACCTCTCATCCACACTCCCAATTTCCCTTCCCTGCACAAAACCTTAAACTCAACTGTAGCCCATACTTTCTCCCCACATTACCTTCCCCTCCACCACCAGAGAACTGCTTCAATCCCCCCTTCAATCTGGTTCCAGCGCACCCTTTTAAATTCATTCAACAAACACAGAGTACCTATTGTATGCTATGTACTATTATATCTCCCTTTGTAAAGCTTATATCCTAATGGGCGAAGGCAATGAATTTTAGAAAGAAGTAAATCACACAGTAAACATTAAGAGGTCATAAGTAGAACAAGGGAGGGGAATGAGGAGTGCCAGGGGTTGCAATTTTTTTTTTTAAAGATTTTACCCATTTGAAAGAACTCAGGAGCAGCCAGATGGAAGAGGAATTTCCAAGGGTTTGGGGAGCTCTGTGCCAGAAACAGGACCAAGACCACGTGTATATTTCTTATTATAAATCACAACCTCACACGGCCCACCTCCGATCTCTCCAAACTGTATTCCATGAGGGGACCAAGGGTCTCTCTAGACCACACATACGATGACAGCCCTCAGTGCCCTGCTTAGGCTAAGCCCCTGGGCTTTCAGAGCTCTTGGGGTCCCACAGAACTTTTCCTCCAGTCTCAAGGGCTCCTCTGGCCACCTTCTTTGGCCTGGCTTCCTCTTTCTTTGCCCATGCTGCTCCCCCTCTGTACAGGGCTAGATAGCATTCCCCCCCAAAACTCATGTCCCCCCAGATCCTCAGAATGTGACCTTATCTGGAAATAGGGTTGTTGCAGATGTAATTTTAGATGAGGTCACACTGGAGTCGGGTGGGCTCTCCATCCAATACGACTGGTATCCTTATGAGAAGAGGCATAGAAACACGCAGGGGAGAAGGCCATGTGAGGCAGAGATCGGAATGATGCAGATAGAAGCCAAGGAACGCCAAGGATTGCCTGCAACCATGAGAAGTTAGGACAAGGCAAGGAAGTCTCCTCCCTTAGAGCAGGGCCCTGCTGACTCCATTTTGGACTTCTGGACTCCAAAACCCTGAGAGAATAAATTTCTCTTGTTTCAAAAAAAAAGATTTTACCCATTTAGAGAGAGAGAAAGAGAGAGAGAGAATGGGGAGGGGCAGAAGGGGAGGGAAAGGGACTCTCCAAGCAGACTCCCCGCTGAGCGCAGAGCTTGATGTGGGGCTCTATCCCATGATCCCGAGATCATGACCTGAGCTGAAACCAAGAGTCGGATGCTCAACTGACTGAGCTACCCAGTCACCCCCAGAGGTTGCAATTTTAAAGTTAGGTTACAGAAGGCCTCGTTTTGGAGGTGACATTTAAGAAAGACTCAAACCGAGTTAGGAGAAAGGAAGCCATGTATGTACCTAGGAAAAGCGTGTTATAGGCAGAGAGCACAGCCATGGCAGTCACCCTAAGGTGGGATCATTCTGAGCGTGTTTCAAGAAGCCCGGGAAGGTCAGTATGGTAAGAGTACAGTGAACAAGCAGGAAAATTATAGGGGGTGAATTCAGAGGTAACTTGTTTTACTGTTACTGATTTATAGGCCGAAACCTCCTGGAACTGGTCAAAATTAGGCCTTCAAGGAACTCTTCTGTCTTGTTCACTGCTGCCTCCCCACTGCTAAGTACAGATCCTGCCATAGAACAGACAGCCAACAAATGTGTGTGAATGAACAATACAAAGACCATTTACTGAGTGGTTACTATGTGCTACACTTGGGGCTAAGCTTTGCGTCTCCACTTTCCTCAGCCCTAGCCCTGAGGAGGAGAGAAATGGACCCTGAAGTCTCACCCCAGGGAGCCGTGGGGAAAGGGAGAAGGGTGTTGCAAATGGTGGCATTTTAGACACTATCCTCATAGAATGGACTTACTCTGTGAGGAGATTGCTCTTACGATCAATGAACTTGAGAGCTTCTGCCAGTGTCAACTCCAGGAAAAAACCATATCCAAGGGCCACGTAGATTCTTGAAGTGTCTGGGCTGAGGAAACAATGGTTAAAGGAAGTGGGGGAAGTCCTTATTATCACTGTTTAGCATACTATACAGTTCAATGAAGATTTTTTTTTTTTTAGTCCACTCCTCCCACCTTCCCCTGGGAGGGCAGGGATTTTGTCCTATTCGATTCACTGTCATATCCCCAGCACCTAGCACAGCGTCTGGACCATAGCAAATACTCAAAAAATATTTGTTGAATGAAGGAAGGGGGAAGCTGAGCCCTGTGGGCTCAGAGGGGCAGGTAGACACTCACACAACTGTGTCAACGAAGAAGTTACAGCCCAAATCCACCTGCATATATAACTCCGAGGGCTTAGCTTCCTGCGGGGCCAGGGAAAAAAAGGGAGGGGTCAGTGGTCAACTTTCAGGTCAGCTGACAGGTTTTGGTCTGGGATCTCTCCTCCCATCCCCCTCCCTTGCCCACACACACCAAAATGGTACCTAACCTTGGTGTTTTTACCTGAAGTCGCTCAATGACATTTCTCAGTTGAAGGTATTTGGCCAGCTGCTCATATACCTTGTCACGATGGTCCAGCACTTTTCTGATGGGACAAGAGGACAATGGTGACCAACAGGAAGCCCTGGCCCTCTCAGAATACCTCATATTATGACTGAGACCCTCATGTTGCCGTGCCCTAAAGAAGCATTTTAGTGCAGAAGTTAAGATTTGAATTGTGAGTCAGACTGCTTGGGTTTGAACCCAGGCTCTCCTTTTTTACTAGTTGTGTGACTTTGGCAAGTAAGTAAAGTCTTTAAGATTCAATTTCCCTATCTATAAAAAAGGGATGACAAATATTACCTCACGGAGTCATTAGGAGAATTAAATGAGTGTTTACTACAAAGTACTTATAATAGTGCCTAACCAAATAGTAAGCTCTATATATGCATTAGCTATAATTTATTAGTACTATTATCACACTCTACTCCCAATGCCTCCCTCCAATCAGAATATCCCATTCTCAAAAAAAAAAGTGTCCCTTTCTCACCCTAGAAAAATCTTCCATCCCTTTAGAATGTTCATTATCCTACTTCTGAACACGCTACTTCCTGCTCAGATTAATGACAGTAATAATAATTTGTCATACTCATTGAGCCCGTAGTATCTATGTTAAATCCTTTACAAGGACTGAACACATTAAAAAACTCAAAACCACCCCATCAGGAAGGTTCCATCAATTTTCCCATTTCACAGATAAGAAAACCGAGGCACAAAAAGGCGAGGGAGGGTACAACGTCTTCACACGGATGGCGAAATGGCCAAGCCAAGGATTCGAACCCGAGAACTCCCGCTTTGGACTCTAGCTCAACCGGTGAGAGGGAGGCCGCACATGCGCGGACACACCCTCCACTAAGACCGCCACATCCCAGCCCAAGTCGCACCCCGGGTGTCGCCCCTCCTTCTCGCTGGATCGGCGTACGGGGCCGGGCTCCGGACGCCTCCCCCACCAATCAGAAGGCTAGGCCCTGACTTCGAACGCCCCGCCCCCCCCCCACGTGGAACGTTCCACACGCCCGGCCCTCCACGCTGTCACTCACCGCAGGTCCCGCTGTAGCACGTCACAGATGAAGGCCTCATAGCGCAGCACTTTCTCCCCTGTGGATTCCAGGGCCCGCCGTTTAGGGGGCGTCGCCATGATGTGTTCCTGAGGAATGGGGAGGGGGTAGACCACGTTGACCACTCAGTTTGGCCTCCGGCACAGTACATCTGCACCCTCTCAACAGCAGGAGTGGGCTCGTCCGGCTCCTGCCGGGGGTTCTGCCTTCTGCCCCTCCCAACTCTGGGACTCGGCCACCCAGGGACACCCAAACGCGGCCCTCACCTTAGAGCCACCGGCAATAAGAACGGTTGCTATAAACCGTGGCTTCCGGGTGGCGCGGGTGAATGACGTACGACAAGGGCGCTGGCCAACCAAATAGCCAGGTGGGGAAGGCGGTTCTAAGTGGCTGAGAGCGGGAGAAGCGGAGGAGAGAAGGGCGGGGCTTCAGGGAATCCGGAGAGAGTACGCACGACCGCAGAGCGTGGGAACCGGGAGGCGCGCGGAGCCTGTGGGGACTGTGCGTGGCTCGCGGGGGCGGGCTTTCCTGGGATTTGGCGGGTTCTGGGGGAGGCGGGGCGCACAGGTGGAGGTAGAGCTTCGGAAGGAGACGGGCAAGAACTGATTATGGTTCTGGTTTGTAAAAGGAAGAGTTCCTCCCTGGGAACTATCGCCGTGGATTTTGATTTTTCACACCGGAGATTTGGGTTTGACTGCCGGTAATGGTAATGAATGTGAGCATTAAAAGAGAAATTTAAACGGAGACAGATTTTCTGAAATTCATCTTTGATAACTCCAGTTTTGCAACCTGCAATCCCTAACTGGGATCCAAGCAGATACTGACAACGCACTATGTCTATTACTTCGTTTAAGAGAGGCGTCAAGTGGAGGGTTGCTGAAGTCCTCGGCTCAAGATCGGCTATTCTGTAGTTAGAAATAGTTCCTCTGTCTTTATTTAAATGTGTAAACTTTTTATTTATTTGTATGCATTCAAATTAATGAATTTATTTTCCCATGTTAGATTTACAAATAATAGCATCAAACTCAGGAAGCCCAGGCTGAGTCTGAAGGGAGAACCCAGATACCAGATCCCTCAAATGCTGTTCCGCTTATAGGGCCTAGAGCCCCCACTCCTACCAGTGAAGTCTTCTCAACTACTTGGTGTGTTTCGTATGTAAAAGCAAGTTTTTCTTTCAAATGCTCAAAACCTAAGCAAGTCGAGCTTTTCTTTGCCCTTAGAACAAGATGATTGTAAAGGAAACATGATTTTTAAAAATATTTTTTGTAAATCTTCTTATGTTTCATATAGTTAAAATTACATTTGGTGTGACTGAAACAGACACCAGGTAGTTAGACAACTATTATTGAGTTAATCTATACCATTTTCCTGTGAAAAAAAAATGGTGTTATGTTTATTATCTTTATTTAACACAAAAGAACACAGAGTTCTAATGAGATGGAGATGGGTCCGTTCAAGTCTATTAACTTATATTTCACAAAAACATTTTTTACTTTTTTTTTTTTTTTTAAAGATTCTATTTATTTATTTGAGAGAGAGCACCAGCAGGGGGACGGACAGAGGGAGAAGCAGACTCCTGGCTGAGCCAGGAGCCTGACTTGGGGTCATGACCTGGGAGTCATGATCTTGGGATCATGACCTGAGCCCTAGGCAGACACTGAACCACCCAGGTGCCCCCATTTTTCACTCTAAAAAAAACATATACCCAACTTTATTTTTACATTTTAAACCTATAGAAAAGTTGGCAGTGAACACCCATAGAGCCTGCATTTAGACTGGACAAATGTTAATATTTGGCTGCATTTGCTTTCTCTCTTTCTGAACCACACAATAATTGTTGACCTGGCTGCATAGCATTCCATGTTTTGGATGGCCTCAGATTTTTGAGCCACTCCTATGTTATTGGATGTTTGGATGTGTCCTAGTTTTTTTCATTGGTATAATCCAGGATGGGATAATAAATAGTCTTTGTTTTCAGATTTTTGTGTACCACCATGATTATTTCCTTGTAGAAAGTAGAAATTAGGGCGCCTGGGTGGCTCAGTTGGTTAAGCGACTGCCTTCGGCTCAGGTCATGATCCTGGAGTCCCAGGATCGAGTCCCGCATCGGGCTCCCTGCTCAGCAGGGAGTCTGCTTCTCTCTCTGCCCCTCCGCCCTCTCATGTGCTCTCTCTCATTCTCTCTCTCTGAAATAAATAAATAAAATCTTAAAAAAAAAAAGAAAGTAGAAATTGATCTGAAGGAGGTCACTGCATTGGCAATCAAGTATTAAGTGACAATTATACACATATTCCCCATAACAAACTTCCTCATCTAAGCTCTGCATCAAGAGTTTGCTGATCCTTTTCCTACAGCCTGCAATCTAAGAATACAGTTTTCACTGTTTTAAATGCTTGAAAAAAGTAAAAGGAATAATATTTTGTGATGTTTGTAAAGTACATAAAATTCAGATTTCAGTGTCGAAAAATAAAGTTTTATTGGAACACAGCTATACTCATTTGCTTATTTATTGTCTGTAGATGCTATCATGCTTATTACTGGAAGAGTAGTTATTTGCCACAGAGACCGTGTAGCCTGAAAATCCTAAGGTATTAACTATCTGGCCTTTAATAGAAGTTTGCCAGCCCCAATCATGTCAGCTATATACAACCCTGTCAATCACCAATACATGTGTTGGGGCTCTATGTGGGCCTCCCAAGCTTCCACTGGTGACCTCTTACCTGGCTTATGGGTGGGCATTTTCATGCTGGTGCTTCTGGGAGACATGAGATAGACCATGTCTCTCATCTCCATTTGTATTTTCTTTCCCTCCCAGCCAACCCACCCACAAGGAAGGAAGAGTAAGAAATGACTGAGGCCCAGATGAGTTAGAACTTATGCATTCATTTACTGCCTACTTTATTTTCTACTGGATATTTGGAACCTGATAAGAATATATCTCATAAAATTGAAAAATAAAGGTAGGATTACAAAAAATACAAACAAATAGAAGATTAACATCAGGGAAAATTGGGATGTAGGTATGAAATTCACTTCTGTGCTTAATTGTGAATTTGTCTCTTATCTTCCTACAACAATAGCAAAAGGGGAAATGGAGTCAGTTATGTGATTTGTATTGTCCACAAGGAAAAAGCATACCAGCTCATCAGCAGAAGGAAATATTTCATGCCATTCTCTAGGAAACAATAAAATTAGAACTCTCCCTTACTTCCTACACTAAAATAAATTCCAGGTAGATTAAAGATTTAAATGATTTAAATGTAAAAGTGGAACCATCAGTGTGTGAGAAGGAAAAAAAGTGGGAGAATATTTATTTATTATCATCTTAGAGTGAAGTCCTTTCTAGTGATGACATAAAATTCTGAAGTCATGAGAGAATATATTGATACACTGTGTTCATAAAATTAATGTATGCACAATTAACCTTAAAAACCTTAAAGCCAAATGGCAAGTTGCAAAGAAAAATTTGCAACAGATGCAATCAATGGCTAGTTTACTTAATATGTAAAGTACTCCTACAAATCAATATAAAAGCCCAACAATTTGAAAGAAACTGGACAGAGACAATTCCTAGATATGCAGCTCACTTTTAAATACATGAAAATGTGTTCATCCTCAATCATAATAGAGAAATGCAAAATGAAACATGTGAAATGCTGTTTTTCATGTATCAGGTTGGAAAAGACCAAAAGGATTTGTAATATACTGCTGGTGTCACAGCTTAAATTTCCAGGAAGCAGATACTGACATGGAGTTAGAAGTGCAGGTGTATTGGGCACCTGTGAAAGAAAAGGGGGGAAGGAGGATTGGGCAGAGGGAGCTTCAGACCATGATGCCAACCAGACAGACTTGCAGCTAGCCCAACCTAGAGCTCCAGAGCAAATATTGCCTGTTAGAGGAGTCCCACCTAGCCCTTTGAACCCCCTCATTGTTTAGTCATAGGCTGGAGACAGCCCTGAGAATGGTAGGACCTTGGCGCTAAGGCTGAGGTGAAGCCCAGCAGAGCTAACTGGAGACTCAAGTAACTACATTTCTCACAGTTGGACAATGAGTCCTTTCTTGAAGAGGAATCTGAGAGGCTCATCTCCATGTTGGCTGCAGTTGACAGGTATGGGGGGAAGCCAGTATTGTTACATGTTGTTTAGGGAGTAAATACAGAAGTAGCTTTTTTTAATTTTAATTTTTTATTTTTCTTTATTTTTTTAAGTAGGCTCCATGCCCAGCTTGGAGCCCAATATGGGGCTTGAACTCACGACCCTGAGATCAAGACCTGAGCTGAAATCAAGAGTAGGACACTTAAACCAGACAAAGACCCCATCAAAAAGGAGAATTACAGACCAATATCCCTGATGAACATGGATGCAAAAATTCTCACCAAAATACTAGCCAATAGGATCCAACAGTACATTAAAAGGATTATTCACCATGACCAAGTGGGATTTATCCCTGGGCTGCAAGGTTGGTTCAACATCCGCAAATCAATCAACGTGATACAATACATTAATGAAAGAACAAGAATCATATGATCTTCTCAATAGATGCAGAAAAAGCATTTGACAAAGTATAGCATCCTTTCTTGATCAAAACTCTTCAGAGTATAGGGATAGAGGGAACATACCTCAATATCATAAAAGCCATCTATGAAAAACCTACAGCGAATATCATTCTCAATGGGGAAAAACTGAGAGCTTTCCCCCTAAGGTCAGGAACGCGGCAGGGATGTCCACTATCACCACTGCTATTCAACATAGTATTAGAAGTCCTAGCCACAGCAATCAGACAACAAAAAGAAATAAAAGGCATCCAAATCAGCAAAGAAGAAGTCAAACTCTCACTCTTTGCAGATGATATGATACTTTATGTGGAAAACCCAAAAGACTCCACCCCAAAACTGCTAGAACTCATACAGGAATTCAGTAAAGTGGCAGGATATAAAATCAATGCACAGAAATCAGTGGCATTCCTATACACCAACAACAAGACAGAAGAAAGAGAAATTAAGGAGTTGATCCCATTTACAATTGCACCCAAAACCATAAGATACCTAGGAATAAATCTAACCAAAGAGGCAAAGGATCTGTACTCAGAAAACTATAAAATACTCATGAAAGAAATTGAGGAAGACACAAAGAAATGGAAAAACATTCCATGCTCATGGATTGGAAGAACAAATATTGTGAAGATGTCAATGCTACCTAGAGCAATCTACACATTCAATGCAATCCCCATCAAAATACCATCCACTTTTTTCAAAGAAATGGAACAAATAATCCTAAAATTTGTATGGAACCAGAAAAACCCTGAATAGCTAGAGGGATGTTGAAAAAGAAAAGCAAAGCTGATGGCATCACAATTCCGGACTTCCAGCTCTATTACAAAGCTGTCATCATCAAGACAGTA